CTCCGAGGAAGGAGCCTGGGACTGATGGGACCCCCTGGATTGAAAATGAGAACTCTTATCACCCTTGAACTCCGAGGATGGAGCCTGGGACTGATGGGACCCCCTGGATTGAAAATCAGAACTCTAATCACCATTGAACTCCGAGGATGGAGCCTGGGACTGATGTGGCGGCCCTGATTTTAAAATCAGAACTCTTACCACCCTTGAACTCCGAGGATGGAGCCTTGGACTGATGGGGCGCCCCTGACCTCAAAATGAGAACTCTTACCACCCTTGAACTCCGAGGATGGAGCCTCGGACTGATGGGGCGCCCCTGATTTTAAAATCAAAACTCTCACCACCCCTTGAACTCCGAGGATGGAGCCTTGGACTGACGGGGTGCCCTTGATTTTGAAAAAACAGAACTCTGACCACCCTTGAACTCCGAGGATGGAGCCTTGGACTAATGTGGAGCCCCTGATTTCAGAATCAGAACTCTTATCACCATTGAACTCCGAGGACGGAGCCTCGGACTGATAGGGCGGTCCTGTCTTTAAAACCAGAAGTCTTATCACCCTTGAACTCCGAGGATGGAGCCTCGGACTGATGGAGCGCCCCTGATTTTAAAATCACAACTCTATTCATGTTTATATGTATACATGTGTACATGTATATGTGTATATGTGTATGGGTAATTATGTATGCATGTGTAGATGCATATATTTAGATGTGTATATATGTATATATGTATAAATGTATATATGTATATGTGTACACGTGTTTTGTGTATATATGTGTACGTGTACATATGTATATGTGTATGTATGCATGCATGCATGCATGCATGTATGTATATATATATATATATATATATATATATATATATATCAAAATGTATATATGTACATAAGTAATTATGTGCATGTTTATATACGTATATGTGTATATATGTATAGATGTATATATGTACATCTGTACTTTTGTATATGTACATACATATTCATGTTTTATACGTGTTATATGTATATGTGTACATATGTAGAAATGTATACATGTGTATATGTATACTTGTATATTTGTATATATGTTTTTGTGCATTCGCGCTCTTGTGCCCTTGTGCCCGTATGCCCTCATGCCCTTGTGCCCTTGTGCCCTTGTGCCCTTGTGCCCTTGTGCCCTTGTGCCCTTGTGCCCTTGTGCCCCTGTGCCCTTGTGCCCTTGTGCCCTTGTGCCCTTGTGCCCTTGTGCCCTTGTGCCCTTGCCGTGCCCTTGCCGTGCCCTTGCCGTGCCCTTGTGGTGCCCTTGCCGTGCCGTGCCCTTGCCGTGCCCTTGTGCCCTTGTGCCCTTGCGCCCTTGTGCCCGGGATCACTGGGGGACCTCTCTCCAGTGTTTGCAGAAGCTGAAACCCCGAAAGCCCAAGCAGTGTTTGCAGAAGCTGAAGCACCGAAAGCCCAAGCAGTGTTTGCAGAAGCTGAAACCCCGAAAGTCCAAGCAGTGTTTGCAGAAGCTGAATCACCGAAAGCCAGGCGGTGATCGCAATGCTGCAGCCTGTGGTGCTCGAGCTTTTGGATCCCTTGCCTCTAACACCATGAGGAAAGGCTTCTTGCTGCCGAAGAATGACGCGAAGACCGAGAAACCCAAGAAGACGGGGTCACCCAAGAAGACCGAAAAGGATGAGGCTCTTCAACAGCCGGCGGTCTCGAGCTCAGCCGCCGCCGAGGTTCCGAAGATCTATACCCAACAAGAGATCAACCACTTCGTGAAGCAGCTGGAGACAATGAGACGTTGGGGAGGGGACGACTTCACCTATATCACGGAATCGGGAAGCATCTTCTGCAAACAAGATTTGGAAGAGATTGTTCGTCGCTATGGACGATAGATCGCTCTGTGCACCCGCGGCGGAGGAAAATTGGATTTCCTGCCTTGGTTGGCTGCCCCAAGTTGCTCAAATGTATTGCTTTAGGTTGCTGCTCGCTTGGATGTTTGCATTCCGCTTGCTGTTGCTGCGGGTTGGTCAATGGCAGCATGACAGCATTTTTTGTAGTCAAGGTGTTTGGGAAGGGGCTCCCGTAGGCGGCCCTGGAATTCCAGGGCATGGCGAACGACCCCATGCGAGTGAAGCTGGAGCAGCTTGACGCTCTTTCGGGAGAAGCCGAGAACGACCCGGTGAAGTTCGGGCGGCTTCTGAACACCGCTATGAGGGCGGGGGCTGCTGCTGGTGGAGTGGCTGGGCAGGGCTTTTCGGACACCTTCCTGCAGGACCATTCGGGGTCAGGGAACTGGAATATAAGCAAAAAAACATGTTGCCGCCTAGCTAGGACACTCAGCAGAAGGAGGCCACGATCGACGCGCAAGAGGAGCAGGACATGATGAAAGAACTCGAGTCTCAGCTCTACGGCTGCGAAATGGACATCTCCTCCCAGGACTTCGATCCCGCCAAACCCATCCTGTTCCCGATACGTGCCATATCTGTTTCCAGGACGCCCAGCCGGCCCAGCCGACCCAGTACGATCTGCCACCTGCTGACTTGCAGACAGAAGGACATCCATGATTCGCGTTGTGTTGCAGCTTCAGTGTGCACATGTTCTGGTTTGTTTCGATCACAGGTACAAAGGATGGCTTTGATGCCACGTTGGAGCATCTCATGCGTGAGGTCGGGCTCGAGGAATGCGAGGATGATGCGATCACAAAATCTCCAAAGCGAGAGCTTGAAAATGATTTTGCCAGGGTCGCCAAGGAAGTGCAGGATGAAACCAGGTTGGCTAAGGAACAGGATGGTGCCTGGCGGAAGAAAGCTGAGCAAACAAGATTGGCCGAGGAAAGGGAGGAAGCTGAGAAAGCCAGCAGAATGGCGAAGGAAAGGGAGGAAACTGAGAAAGCAAGGTTGGCCAAGGAAACGGACGAAGCTGAGAAAGTAAGCAAAATGATCAAGCAAATGGAGGAAGCTGAGAAAGCCAGGTTGGCCAAGGAAAGGGAGGAAGCCGAGAAAGCCATCAGAATGGCGAAGGAAATGGAGGAAGCCAAGCTGGCCAAGGAAAGGGAGGAAACTGAGAAAGCCAGGATGGCCAAGGAAATGGAGGAAGCCAAGCTGGCCAAGGAAAGGGAGGAAGCTGAGAAAGCCAGGATAGCCAAGGAAATGGAGGAAGCCAAGCTGGCCAAGGAAAGGGAGGAAGCTGAGAAAGCCAGGATGGCTAAGGAAATGGAGGAAGCCAAGCTGGCCAAGGAAAGGGAGGAAGCTGGGAAAGGGAGGAAGCTGAGAAAGCCAGGATTGCCAAGGAAATGGAGGAAGCCAAGCTGGCCAAGGAAAGGGAGGAAGCTGAGAAAGCCAGGATGGCCAAGGAAAGGGAGGAAGCCAAGTTGGCCAAGGAGAGGGAGGAAGCTGAGAAAGCCAAGTTGGCCAAGGAAAGGGAGCAAGGAAAGGGAAGAGTTCAGGCTGGCAAGATTGGCCAAGGACAAGGAGGAGGCCGAACAGATGAGATCGGCCAAGGACAAGAGCGACCGTGAGACAGTCAGGCTGGCCAAGGAAAAGGAAGACGCTGATAAAGCCAACGTGGAGGCCGTGCGACTTGTAAGAAACTAAGAAACCTTAAACCCTATAAACCATAAGTATAAACCCCATAACCTATAACCTCAACCTTAAACCCGAAGCCATAACTCCCTAAATTTTATACAACCCTAAACCCCAAAGCCTAAATCCGCCACTGTCAGGTCGACATGGCAAGACAGGCGACAGAAAAATACCAGGCTTTGCCGATGAACGCGACAAAGTTGCAAAAGCTACAGTTCTTGCAGGACATTATGGCTACTGGGGATGAGGGTTGCAAGCAGTTCTGCAAGGCTGAGCTTGCAAAACTGATCACGGCGAAGGCAGCAACGCCAGCTCCGGCCCCTGCTACTAGGGGTGCCGATCCTCCGGCCCCTACCACCAGGGATGCCGATCCTCCGGCCCCGACCATCAGGGGTGCCGATCCTCCGGCCCCTACCACCAGGGGTGCCGGTCCTCCGGCCCCTACCACCAGGGGTGCCGTTCCTCCGGCCCCTAATGCCCCGACCTTTGATGATGTCAGTGCGAAGATGGGTTGGTCAAGTCCTGTAACCCCACGCATGGTGGAGGCACCTGGTACGCCATCTCCTGCAACGCCCGGCAGTGCAATCACAACGCCTGGCAGTGCAAAAACAATGCCTGGCAGTGCAAGCGACGGCTTGGTCCAAGGTTCTGCGCCACTCTACAGCCGAAAGAACGCCGCCATGTTCTTGAATCGCCTGAAAGGCAACCCAAAGAGGATGCAAGCCTTGCCTGATGACTTGGCAAAGTTGGTGCGGGACGAAGATTCAAAGAGCAAAGCCATCGACTTGATCGTCGCTGCAGGAGGAGACGAAAATGAGCTGGTCGGGCAGTGGACTGCATCGTCTGTGGCGACGGACAAGGAAAAGGGAAAGATGAAACCTTTGACGGAACAGGAATTGATCGGCAAGTACGGTGCGGTCAATGCTGCGAAGGTGATGGAGGAAAAAAGGAAGGCTGGTTTGGAGGTTGATGATCCCAATTGTAAAGGGCTGAAGCTTTACTTGCACAACGAGTGGCAGAGGGAATGGACGAGAGGCACAGAAGAACGTTTCTTGCTTGCATTCATACATCGTGCATGCAGTTATGTTCGACTTCAACATTTATGTAGCATTCGTGCATTCATGCGAACAGAATCCGAGGAAGCACATTCACTGCTTCCGGAGAAGTTCGTGCGGGTGACGCTGCCAACGTTGCACAAATTCTCAGTGTGCCCCGGCGGGCGCTCACAGGGCCCGGCCAGGATGATGATGAGACTATGGACACGGAGGAGGACCCAAAGCCACTTCCGAACAAAAAAACAAGGAAAGCCAGGAAAAATGAAGCCAGCGGCAAAGGGAACGACGAAGACGATCAACCTGAGCCGGAAGCACCACGAGTGGAGAAACTTACACCGCTGGACAAGGCGGCAGGCTTAAGGGGGCGGGCCCTCTCGAAGGCCAACCACGCTGGCTCGATGCGGAAGCAGTTGAAAGGAGTCAGCTATGCGACTGAATGCCTCAAGGAGATGACCCACTTCGAGCAGGAGTTCCAGTGCCTTGGCTGCATTGATACCTGCTACTAGATCGTTTTATGAGCCACTGCCCCACAGGGCAACCTGGTCTAGCCATATGAACAAGAAGTCTTGACAGACGCTCATGTGGCCCCAACCCAATACTATACGGCCAAGGGCGATCTACGACCAGGTGGACAAGCTCATCTCTGAGCTGGTCCACGATGATGGGGTCTATCTTCCCATTGCTACCAGATATCTCGATATCGCGAAGCGTTATGAGAAGCCCAGCAAGGTAGCAAACAGCTTGATCCGAGCTGCGAAGGCGACTCCGACGGATCCAACCGCGCCCAAAGGATCGGCTAAAGCCAAGTCCAAGAAGCGCAAAGCCGTGGAGGGAGCCTAGAAAGATTCTTGGCGCCCGGGGTCGGTGCCCAGATGGGCATGTCGTGCCGCTCACGTATGTTAGAATACTCCAAGGTTACACGTATGTTAGAATACTCCAAGGTTACTGGTAACAGATCCATCTGGATTTTGCACATCTCATTTTCTTCCAGTGCCCGACACTGATAACCTACAGTTGGTGTAGGGTCCTCGCCCAAGGGCTCGAGGACCCAAGCCAGTGTGAAAGAAGTTCCGTGCTGCTGTGCACTTGAAAGTCGCTCTGGTGCCAAAAATTGCTTGCTGCAGATGCCCTGACGGGGTTTCACGTGATGGGGTGGAAGGAATGAAAAACATTGTTGCCAGGTACGTGCCCTTGACAGAGTCTGGTCGGCCTGCCTTTACGACACGTCGTCGTGGGATGCTGCTGGGACCGCAATATATGCAATAAGCATAAACACGCCACTGGAGCAAGGACCGCAGATGACTTTGACTCCGCTGGTGCAGCTTTACTGGCCCAGCGCATGGGTGCTGGAGACTCTTGACTTGGATGTATGTCAGCTAGTCCGTGTGCAACACTCTTGGACCTTGCAGCCAGAACACACATTCTGAGGCGATACCTGTGGCCGAAACAAGCAGAATAGCATCTGCCTTCCGGCGAGATGGGGCATCTGGACGTGCCCTTGCACAAATGGCAAGCAGCGAACGGGAGAGGGATTTCTTCCGCTGGATGAAGTTACCCATCCAGCCCCTGCTGGTGGATTTGCCTGTGTGGAGCAACACCAAAGAACGCAAGGACAAACAACTGATATTTGAGAAAACAGCTTTCTGTCTTCCCAGTGATGTTCTCTGCGAGCTTTGCAAAAGATCACTGGTGGAAACCTGTCTTATTGGACATTCGCACCTCGGCACGCGCCTGATTAATTGTTGGCGCATGTATTGCTCATGGACGCACATTTCCTGCTTTGATATCTCAGGTCAGTAGATGAATGGTGGAAGCAAGAACGGGACCAGGTTTACATACGGGAGATCTCCCGGAACAATCCCAACTACCAGGACATGCTTCCATTACGCTTTCATGAGGATGGTGTGCCAACAACTAAGAGCGAAACATGCAACTTCTGGTCTTGGACCACGCCATTGGCTAGCCGCGGAAGCGAGATCTCTCGCTTCTGTCCCTCGGAAATTTTCGACTAGCAATATTTTTTAGTTGGACTTGGAAGAGTAGGAGCAAGAACAGAGGTAGCTGACCACATATATATATATATATGATGGAAAACAACAATTAAAGGCATTGTTGGTGTCGCGAACAGTCGTGTCGCGCCCGAAACGAGACGTTGCATCGCTGACATCATCGCTTGGGATCTTCGAGCACTGGAAAGTGGCGTTTTTCCATCCTGCGACCACAACGACGTTCCGTGGCCAGCTGGCTCAGCGCGAGCCCAAAAGATTGGCCAAAACATTGGGATCAGAGCATGCTTCTCATATTGGGCTGGAGATATGGAAGCTCATGCAAAATCACACAATCTTCAGAGGCACTATAACAAGCCTTCGATATGCGATTGGTGTTGGGCATCGAGCCGGGGCAGACAGCTGACTTTCACAGACTTTTCTTCGTCAGCTCTGTGGCGCTCTACATGCAGCTACCATGAGCCGCTGCCACACCAAGAAGAACGATCTGTTTGGCGCTCAATCAAGGGCTTCACCAAGCGCCGCCGCCTGTTTGACAGCCTCTAGGTCGCATTAACAGCATTCCTGGATGGCTTTTTCTGGCTTTTGGTTATGTAGTGCTCGAATATTGTAAGATGCACTGCTCGACCAAGTTATGCACCTCGCCCATCTGGGTTACATCCGGGACCTTGTGGCTTCCATTCTGGTTGAGACCGTGAGATCGGGCGAGATGGCAGCTTTCTTGCGATTCGATGGCAGCCCAGATCAGCTTCTTCACAGGTGGACTGCGGAAGCCCAAAGTTTCTGCAAGGATCGTGGCCTGGATTGCTCGATGAAGCCGCTGACGTGGGAAACTTTGCATGCCAACAAGAAGGCTATCTACCCTGAGCTCACTAGCCGTTTTAAAGCAAGTCGGACCAGAAATTTTCTGGCGTTTACCGCTTATTACTGCTGTCAACTGGAATTTCTGGTGTCTGATGACGCACCCTCAGACACGGTGCATGGCAACGATGGTATGGTGCTTGGATGCAGCGTTGAGTGTTGGGGGAACTGGCAGTAAACCCCACCTCAAGCCAGAGGAGATTATCGAAGCACAATGGTGTTTCGATACGTTCCTTCTGAGCTACGCTCACGCTGCTAGCAGATTCCATCGAATGGGCCTTTGCTTGTACAAACTTCGGCCGAAGATGCATTACACGCAGCATTAGGTGGATGAGCTGCCCTGTCACAAGCTCAACTTTTACCATGCTGCGAATTTTTTGGACGAGGATCATATGAAGTTCCTCAAGATTGTTTCGGCCGGCTGCCACGTGACTTCTCAGCCTCGCACCTGGGCAAGACGTTACCTGACGAAACAAGTGTTTCTCTGGCGACGCTTGCCCGGGGCGACGGCGAAGAAGAAGCGCCGCGTCGCCGAAAAAGTACACTAGCTAGCGTATCCTCCCGCCACCTCCCACTACACCTCCGGGAGTACGTAGCAAGCCTAGCTAAAGCTAACTGGCTTCACGCAGTAGCACGGACAACACGAACTTCTCTCTTTTTAGCGTTGTGGCGAAGTCCCGCGTTAGCCCGGAGAAGAACTCTAGCCTTTGGCTAGCTAATCTCCAGGGTGGGTTGGGTGGGCACTCGAAATTTGCCCCCCAATAGCTGGGGGCCTTTCAGCACAATGGCCACGGAGTAGCACTGCTTCACCGGCCATGTGCAGTCACTCTAGCAAACAGACAAGCTTCGTTCTGTTTAGCTTCAGAGGAAAACCCCTTCGACGTTTTCTAGCGAAACACCTTCGATGTTTCCCAAAGGGATACTAGCGCTAGCATACACTGTCGTACCTCGTCCCTCGGCACGAGTGCGTACACTAGCTTGCGTATCCTCCCGCCACCTCCCACTACACCTCCGGGAGTGCGTAGCAAGCCTAGCTAAAGCTAACTGGCTTCACGCAGTAGCACGGACAACACGAACTTCTCTCTTTTTAGCGTTGTGGCGAAGTCCCGCGTTAGCCCGGAGAAGAACTCTTGCCTTTGGCTAGCTAATCTCCTCGCGCAGCCGTAGGGCTACCAGGGACCTAGCTTACGGGCCTTCTTAGCGAACCTCGGAGCCTTCGGCTCTCCGGTCCTTTTCCTCACTCCTAGCTCCTGGAACCTGGGAGTCCGTTTGGCCTTAAATTAGGTGGCCGTAGGTCGCAAGGCCAAAAGGCCATGAAAAAACGCATTGACCGTGAAAAACCATATGGCCACGAAACCAGTGTGAATTCACGCCGGGGCCTGTGAATTCACGGAGGGGCTGGAAATTCACAGGGGTGCTGGGGAATGTACAGAATTCTGAATTGTACAGTGCGGTAAATCGGCGGTTGTGAAGTTTCACTCTGTGTTTGGGGGTTTGCTGAGCAAAAATTGTCTTTTGTACAATTAGCGTGTCACGCCCCCACGGGGTTCGATTTAGTCCTGTATACAAACCCAGATCGGCCAAACGGGCGGTTCAAACCTATAGCTCTAGAGTACTTTTGGCTCAAAAGAAAACAGACAAACTTCTGAATTTCGGCTCGATCGGTGAGAAAAAGTAAGAAAGACGCTCAAAGCCTTAGATGCCCATATATTAATAGTATTATATATAATAAATATATATATATATATATACCGGGCATCTTAAGGCTTTGACCCAGATACCCTACGATATATATATATATATATGTATATATATATATACATATATATACACCTCTCTCTCGAGCTCCCTCGCTCTCTCTATATATATATATATACACATAATACGATCATTCGAATGCCTTTTTGGGGGGCATTGCTTTCGAAAGCGAGCGATTGTGAATTCGATTGATCAAATTAATCATTTGATCCGAGTTGCACAAATGTGCAACCTTCTGCGGCAGTACGCTTGAGATTAAGTCTAAATTTGATCTGCCGTCCGCAAGGCTATGAGGCTCACGTGACGGCACGGTCGCTCATTGGCCTCTCTTGGAAGACACACGTACTCGATGCACTGTCAAGATGATCGAATGAGTACTGTACGCATCCTTTATATATGTTCCATGTGCAATTGTATGTACTTGGAATTTGCAGGTATGTATACGTATAGCTATACTTAAGTTCATGTACGCATACTGGATATGGTTAACTATTGATATGGATACGGGTATATATGTATGGTGATAATATATTCATGTACACATACTTAAGTGCGAATGCCGTCTGTACACTCGCGGATCCAGTCTGCGATGCTTCAGGTCTTACACATACATATCATGGCTCAAATAATATTAGACCCGAAACCCCCCTAAACCCTAAAATCTATTAATTGTAGATGAACTCCAACTCGTCGGTGTCGATGGCGCCGGGCCTGCAGATCTGAAGATTGGGTGTGCCCTAGCGGCTCGGGCCGGTTCATCATAATCTAAGGCTCCTCGTGGTACTCTGTGAAAGTTGGGGGGCTTTGCTTGAAGTATCAGGCTTTGCAACAACCTCAGATTGAATGCAATTGTCGGCTACAAGGGCAGGGGTCTAATATTGTCGTAGGGCTTCGGATTTAGAACGCCGGGCATTTCGGGTTTGGGTATTCCCCAAGAAAAGTTGAAACCTTATTGAGTTCACTTGCATCCTATGTACCCAACATCCTATTACATTTGCATCCGTCAGTCTTGACAGTTGTTCAATATGATTTCCAATACACTCCTTCGTGGCAATAGGAACTCTGAACTTTGATCGAGTTCATGTACCTAGGACCTAGGCCCCTAAATTGAAGGGTCTTCGAGCCGTTACGGTTTGTGCGCCCAGTTCTATGTACTCTCGTACTCTCGATCCCAAACCCCAAGCTCACTGCATTCAAGCCCCTAGAAACAAATTTAATTACAAGCAGGGCACAACATTTTCCTCCATGACCTCCTTGAAACCCTACATTAAATAAGTAAGCTCAGGGGGGCAATCAAATGAAGCCGACGGGAAAGGTACGTACATATGGCGACCCTCCTCGATCTCGCGACGTCGCTGCCGACAGGTGCAAGCCCCCCCGCCCCGTCTGCTTTCTGCTCAGAAGTTGATCGTGAAAGCTGTTGCTTCAGTTGATGCATTAGGGCTGCCCGTGCATGCTCGAAGGCGACTGTACTCAGCTCGGGCCCAGGGTGTGTTTTGCTTCGCTTCCAGAGTGTAGGATCCGATTCAATGTATACTACATTGCAAATATATCAACCTGCCATCGCAGAAAATCAGAATCCTCTAGAGGACTGCTGGAATTGGAGAAGTTTTGGGAGCCCGATGTCCCCGCAGTGCTGTGTAAGCTTAAGATGACGACCTCGACTAAAATGGTGGAAGCTGTGGCGGCCGCCTTCGCGAAGGAGCCACGGCTGAAGGAGGCTCGCTCGATCCTACGTTCCCACTGCTAGCTTCATGATCACCCCTTGATTTCAGCGGTTTGTATCCAATTAAGCGGTACTTGTGCATGCAGTACATGCAATGAATATACTCTTGCACAGAAACAGCATGTACGCACATGCATGCCAGCATGTACGCATGCACCAATAGCATACATACTTCAAGGCACACATGCATACATGCATACACACATACGTACATATATACATAATTACGTATACACACATGCATACATACATACATCATATACAAATATAATTATGTACAATCATGCAATGATTCCACCAAAGATTCAAACACTCGTTCATGCATGCATATACACGTACACACACGAACACACAAGCGCAGACACTTAGCTTAAGTAGAGCTGCTAGTTTCATCAGACACACACACAAACACCTGGACAAACCATAGACCCGGCAGGTGGGGCTTGCCTTCCTTTGTGACCACTCGGGCAAGCTCTTCACGAAGAAGCCGAGCTTGAAGGATGTTCGATGCAATCAAGATGTACTTGGATTGCATAGGAGTCTGTGCATAGTCCATTTCCATTCTAAACATTTAGACGTTGGGGAACGCCATGATTCTGAGGCAATCTTTGCAGTGGTCAAGGCTACGAATGGGGCGAGCCGATTGAGTGCCTACATGCTTCGGGATGCGATCCTTAAGTTCTACACCAATAACCACTTGTTTCCGGCTGGGCTATGTGCAGATGCTGAGTGTACCCAAACCTGGGCTTTGAAGTATGGCAATGCCTTGAAGAGGCTAGTGGCTTTGCTTATTGATATCGTGCCATTCGTTCAGTGCATGTGGTTTCAGGAAAAGACTAGTGGCTAGTGAAGTGTCGTGTGCCAGCTCAGGTTGGCCGCACCCGGCGGATTTGCAAGAGGGCCAGGACTTCCAAGGACCGCAAGCTGAACCCTTTGAGAGAGCGGATCGCTACATTGGGAATAGCTAGCTTGGTCACTTGTCTTTTATCAATCCACATTCTCATTGAGTGCACCATGCATGCATTGGTACGATTGCATCGCAACATGTGCTGCATTTAAACCTAAGGTGTGCAAGGACAAGGGTGACAAAGATCATGATGATGACGACTCGAATGATGGTGTGCCTGCTGCACCTGCGCCGGGGCTTCGGATGCTTTCCTTTGAAACCCTGTCTTTGACTTCGGGGTCCAGTGGCTCCTCCTCGTCGGGTACGCTGTCGAGCTGCCTGTCGGTCCGTGATTCTGAGGTCAGTCGTTTGGCTTCGCAGCTTCAGGGTCTTCGTTTGCTGAGCAAGGACTCTCCGGAGGGTCCGAGTGTCGGGTCCAGTGTCTCGACTACGGTGACTACGGCAAGCTTGTTTGACTTTGCTGCGAAAACCGATTCGAAGCCTGCTGATATCCCCGCCGGCAATAAGATCCTGCCTTCCCGGGTTTCTCAGCTGCCATTACAGTGCAGGGTTCGTACATGATCCGAGAACCACTTATACTGCTTTAGACAGCGATCGATTGCATCTCAGGTTTTCGCTGACCTCTCCACGTGGCTGCCTGAACCTTCCAAAGGGTTCCCCTTGTCCAGCCAGTACGCAGGGGCCTTCGATGCTGAGGATGTTGATGGTGTTCATGACGAAGCGCCTGAGGATAAGCCCAAATCGAAGAAGCCGAAGAGGAAGCCAGGTTCCAAAAAAACGGGGCCCACGAAGGCTGAGAATCTGGAGAGCAAGCCAGGTTCCAGAAACACGGGGCCCGAGGCTGAGAATCTGAAGAGCAAGCCAGGTTCGAGAAACACGGGGCCCGAGATTGCAAAGGAGCCTGCTGAACCGCTGGACCCCGATTTCGAACCTTACCTGCCGAACCTCTACAGCGAGAAGCGATTGGCTTACATAGAGGCTCATGCTGTGCAGTATGGCAAGAAGGAGGCGTCTCAGATGTGGAACACGTGCCTTCAGAAGGCTAAGATGCTGGCAGGTGTGGGCCTACGGGAGCTTAAGAAGAGGAAGTTCGTTCCCAAAGAAGCCACCGAAAATCCATTTGTCAAGGTCGTCAAGCAGGCGAAGCTTGCTGCAGCGGGCGGGGCATGATTTTCAACGAAACATATGCGATTTTGCCATGGCCTGTAGCTACTGTGTACAGACTACATTGAAGCCTCATAGCACAGGATCATCCAGCTAATTATGGTTTCGATTGCAGGCCTGGGCTGCCATGCATGTGGCTTGCACCTTAATTATTATGGGCTTCTGCTGCAGGTGGGCACGTTTAATACGTGTTGTCGCATGCAATGGGCTCAACCGGGAATCGCACGGTGGCTGTGAAAGATTGTCCAGAGAGAGTGAATGCATCTCCGGTATCGCAAGGGATCCTGTGTTGCAAGCGACATGTGCTTCAATTCGAGCTTGCTCTGCCAGTACATGTACTGTGTGCGCTTCATGGATCTAGACTTGAGCTTAGCCTGGGGAGTCGGTGATATACTGAGGGCCCCTATAGCTGTGATCGACCATGGTTGTGTCTGAGCTGCTCGCGATGCGGGCCCCGCCTGTCCTTATGCTTATGGTCATCATGCTGATGTGGTACCCTCGTGCGCCGTGTGTTCAGGACCATAACTAGTAGAACCGAGAAATTAGCATACATATGTGTGTGTGTGCTGCAAACTTAAACTTTGGGAGGACCGGGACTTCGTCGAGCTCTTTTGTGGTAAGATGGAGGTATCTCATGCACTACGCCGTGCAACTCGATCGAACTAAAACGACTGTTGAGGTTACTAACCTATGCCCACGGCTCGAAAAACCCCACTTAGCCCAGGCAGGACTCCGTGGCACCTCCCTCGACATCGAGCTGGATCCGCAGACGATGGATTTCCTGAAGCCGGCGGGCTTTTGGCTGCTTGTGTTGCAATTATCAGTTGGCCACCCATAGCATTCACAGGACGATTGCAACATTGTGTGGTATAGCGGTATAGCAGTGTTGCGATAGTTCAACACCAAACTACTGAGGACTTTGTATGTCACAGTGGTTACTTCCACGGTCTAGAGTATGAGTATGATCGAAAGGTTAAGACTATATCCTTTGGCGAGAACATAAAACTATAATAGCACTGCAGCCATACCTTCCATGTATCGTCGTCATGTCCTACAGATAACATACAACAAACTCCGAACAAACTATTCTGTATGTATGATATATATATATATACATATCTTTCCCCCAGCTATCACCAATAAGTACTTCTAGCCATATATGTGGAAATCCGAACCATAGTAGACTAATTATATAGTCTCATGATTATAATTGATGCACTATAGTAAACCACCTAAGCTTCAGTATACAATTCACAACACACGATTCTTCCCGGCTTATCTAAGTCTGGCCCTCCTCGAAATCCTACGCTGCCGGCCGGGCGGTTTGGTACTGATGGCACTGGACTGCAGGAGCTTCAGCACCATGCATATCGATTGCAATTTCCGATGGGGGCTTCAGTCATTGCCATGCATTGTAATCAGAACTGACGAATATCTTGCATCTCAGGTGCCGTCATACGTCTGGACGGTCGATATTTCGACCCTATGGAAATGAACAATTTCCGTTTGTCTCTGAGGGCAATGTGCTTTCAAGCAGAGTGATTTTGCTGATCTTCGTGTGCCAACTTCGGGGTCTTCGATGGGTGGTGGAGCAACCTTGTCGGTCTTTCCTGCCTGCTATGCCTCGATTTCAACAGTTGTTGCGCTCCCTGAAGGCCACGGGTTTCTTAATTATGGGTCTGCATGCAATCAAACCGACAATCAAGCTTTCACGCCGGGAGGTCTGGACTGGAGGCTTCTGGATGGGTATGTTCGATGGGCCATCAGCGAAGCGACATACACTCTGGAGCAACGAACCAAGGTTGATTCAAGCAGTGATCGACCGAGCTGATCGAATGACGCCAGGTAAGATGTCGACACTCCACCCGTTGTGCCACTACTACAAGGACTCACTGGGAGTACAGCGACGAATTGGCAAAAGAACTGAACTGAAAGCCTCTCAGATCCTCGACCAATAATATTACATGCTAGCTCGGACCCGCTCAGGCCCAGACCGTTGGAAACACGGTTTGCATGCCGCAAAACAGCTTCTGAGCTAAGGAACTACACGAGGAACTTTGGTGAGTTCCTGGCTGGTGCCTTCCTGCACCTCCGGTCGGCACCATTACTGCAGCTAGATTGTATGGGTGCAATATGACATAATTTTACTTAATTCTATATAGCCTCGAATATCTCAGGAGCCCTTCGTTCCTGAGAACCGCCTCCCGGGATTGGGAGCTGATGATCTACGGAAATCCGATTATGAGCTCTTCGTGCAGGAGTGCTTGTCGGAGCGGGGCATTAATGGATTGGGGGATCTTTGGCCTGATGTGGCTTAGTTTGAATTATGAATAGGGGTTCGATTATGCTTGATCTGCGATATATGTACCATTCCCCATTGATCCCGATCCGAGGCAAAAGCCATCGATGTACTTATGTATATGTCCAAATCAAAATCCTTGGAGCTCCCTGGAAATTGGGTATCCTGGCTTATTATGTCATAAAGAGTACAAGAGTACAACAACCCCGAAAATTCACAAATATATCTTCTGCTGGGATCCCAGGCCAATGTGCTCTCGATGATCGGCTTGGGTGGCTGAACCTGGGCTTTCAGCTCTTGATCATTAATTCAAGGGGGTAGTTTAGGCTACAATGGCCTATGCTGTGTGCTAAGCCAGCTGGCCGTGAATTTCCGTGAAAGCGCCGTGAGAACCAAGCAAACAACCGTGAAACCAGCGTGAAAAATGTGAGTTCACACGGAGCTCTTTTGCTGAGTGTCCTGGATGCACGTTCATGCGAAATCACATTTTTTCACGTTGCTTAAGTGTGGCAAAGCTGTTGGGTGTGAATTCTGATGTTCTTTTTCACGTGACTTCACGTGTTGGGCCCTAGCTGCCAATTTAGCAGTACGTAGTTTGTGCTAGAGCGCGATGGGAAAGAAGACTGCGGCGGCAGACCCGCCGGAAGTGGCTGATGTTATGGCTATGCTTCAAAGCAAGGGATTGCTAAAGCGTGGTCCAGACGCCCCGGAAGCAGCTGCCGAGCCTTCTAAGAAGTCTAAGACAGCTAAAGCTAAGGCCAAGCCGACCCCGACGTCCGAAGAGGAGCCCAAGGTTGAGACCCGAGCCAGGAGCAAGCGCAAACCCGCCGAAGCCCAAGCAGAAGCTGAGAAACACGATGATGAGAAGCCACCCAAGAAAGGGAAACCCAGCAAGGGCCAAGCCAACAAGGACCCCACCGAGAAGCAGGAGGAACCCAACGAGAAGCAGCCGCAGGAGAAACCCGGCAAACCCCCCAAGGAGCCGAAGAAACCCAGCAAGGAGCAGTCCCAGGAGAAACCCGGCAAACCCACCAAGGAGCTGAAGAAACCCAGCGAGGAGCAGTCCCAGGAGGCCCCCGAGGCAGCTGCCGATGAGGATCTGGGTCCGTTCGAGGAGTTTCCACCTAAGACACCCGGGGCTTGGGGTGAGGAGTTCTTGGAGACGGGGCTTAATGTCGTGGTGAGCTGGAAAAACTTGGATGATGTGTGGCGAGCTTGCAGGGCTTCCGACAAGCCGATGTACAGAGACATGCAGTACGAGAAGCTTCTGCAGATGATGGAGGCGGCTCTTGGTCCCCGGCCCAAGCACGTGCTTAAGCCTGTTGAGGTCCACCTTGCTGCTGAAGAGACCCACCCGGGCCCTGTGTTGGAGGACGAGTCCCTGAAACAAACACAGGAGCAAGAGCAGTCTGACGCGGAGCAAGACGACCAGGAAGGGGAGGAGGAGGAAGCAGAAGAGGATGAGGAAGAGGAAGAGGTGGAGGAAGTGAAGAAACCGCTTCCTAGCAGTTCTAGCGCCAAGCCACCGCCTGAAACCACAAGCCCGCCGAAGATCAACACGTGGAATGGCGTCCCCAGCCCTGCAACGAAGGAGAAAGCCCGCTCCGAGAGCCCTGAACAGGCCCGTCACAAAATGCTTTGTTCTCACTAAACCCTAAAAGCCTTAAAGGCCCTACCTAAAAACCCTAAAACCCTAAAGCCCGAAAGTATACATGTTGTTGCCAAATCTTAATGAATCCTATGTCCGTGCTAGAGGTGAAGCCAACAGACCTGAACAGCAAGTTCAATCGTGTACGGCGGTCGAAGTCCGAACAGCCCCCGTGCTTGCAACAATCGGTCCTTGATTGTTTACATGCAACCGATGATCAGTCGAAGTGTGCACTGCATCGAATGCATTGATCAACTGAGGTCCCTGAGTACTTTGGTGCTGGGTGCCCACCTCACCGATGAGCAGGCATACTCGAATCGTCCAGCCTCGGAGGTTGGTGCGGTTCCCGCGGAGGATCTGCATGAAGGGTGTCATGCACTGCATGCAGTTGTTCTACTATGTACTTTGCCTTGCATGCTGCCTGCCGATTTAATTAAATCCCCTGATGCAAGAGCGATCTGAGGTTGATGAGTGCATCTCAAGCAGGCAGCGACAGCGAGCTACGAAGTCTCGTGACAACGATGCAGTCAGAGATCACTAGGCTGAAGGCCATGCTGGCTACGAAGGATGCGAACCCGGGAGCCCCGCCGGCCACACCGCCGGCCGCACCGCCGGCCGCACCGCCGGCCGCACCGCCGGCCGCACCGCCGGCCCCGCCTGCGAAAGCCTCGGTTAAGCACGAGGAGAAGGAGTCGGATGGGGAGGATGACAACGGGGAGGAGCAAGAAAGCGAAGAGGAGGATGATGAAGAGGAGGAGGAGGGGGATGAAGACCACGAGACCCCGCCACCAAAGGCCAAACCGCCTGCCACAACCTCTGTGACCAAGACCAACAAGCCTAAGGGGCCCAACTCGTCGACCCACCGTGCTCAATGGATGAAGTTCGGTCGGCGAATGGACAGCCAGGGCTCGGAGTTCCCCGAAATGACTAAGCTGTGGACCGGAAGCAAAGACGAAACCTGTCGAGTTATAGCATGCATGCTCTGCTACATCTCGAGTGTATAGAGATGTGCACCCTAGCCGAGGAACAGCACGAAGTGTTCGCGAAATGGCTCGAGGAGGGCCAGAACATGAACAACACGGAGGCCCAGCTGATCATCACCAAGACGAAATCGGCCGAGGTGAAGAGTGGCTATGAGGAGCTCACCGTGAAGGAAATGGTTGCGAGAGGATTCAGTGCGAACCCTGATTGCACTGCAATGTTTGCAATATTACTATCAATCCTTTAAACACAACACTCTGAGATGCTATTTGCCTCCTCATCTAAGGACAAAGATCGAAAGCATAGTCAGAAAGGGTGGAACCCCTGACCCCGACGCCCCTCACTGCCTGGAATCCATCGTGTATGTTTGCCGGAAGAAGAAGAACGTGGAAGAATCCGAAAAGGTTTCCCAGACCGGCGAAATCAAGTCGAAGATGAAGGCCACTGCCAAGGCCGTGGCCCCGTTGATGAGGCTGAACGGAATGCCGGGGCCTGGATCGACCTCGGGCGCCACCGATGCAGTTTTGCAGCTTGCTGCGAACGCTTTTGCTTCGGGCACCGAGTCAGCATTGAGGGGCTAGAGGTAAAGGTTCCACGCATGCACGGTTTGGTGGTGTACTCCTGCTCTACCTGACTCTACGCACCGAGGATCGGCCGACGCCACCGCCGCCGCCCCCAAGAGGAACCCGAAAAGCAAGGCCAAAGCCAAGGCAAAAGCCTTGATCCAGGCGCCCAAGACACCCAAAGAGCTTTTGGATGAATGCCGTGTCTCGGTTCGTCTTAACCACTGGACCCTCAAAGCCCCCATACAAAAACCAATCAAGCTTTTCCCAACTCAGGCAAAGAGCTGAAGAAAGAGTACAACGCCGCGAATATTTGCTACGACCTGCCGAAGGACAATGCTTTGCGGAAGGACATGGAAGCCAAAAAGGGCGATCTGGAAAACCGGCTGGATGAGCTACCTAGCTGCCTACATACCCAACCCCAGCTGTAGAAGCTCTAAATAATCACGCATGCATTGGCTACACCACTTATACATAATAATGGGGTCCCATGATCTGAGGCTGAGGAGTGTGGCGGATGATGATGCCGAGGATTTCGTCGACGAGTGCAAAGCACTGGCTGCTAGATTGCAATCTAAACAGTATGTGCACCCCTTTAGAAGCCAAACCCGAAACCCTTATGCCCACCAAGGTCGAAAACACCCGGATGGTGCGAGCACAGGTCCGTGCTGTGGCAGCTGAGCTCCAGCGCAAATCTGCTTCGGAGACCAAGTAGAGCAGTCCTGTGTGGGAGGACTGTGGGGTCTAGGGCACACCGCTTCTGCATCGAAGGTTGTACGTATGGCTGGACAATCCTAAAGACCCAACAAATCATATGAACCGCTCGACCCTTTATGACTTCGTTGTGGGGGATAGCCTGTGCCCTAGCTGTGCTTTTGAAGCAGGGGTGATGGTACCTAGATATGTGCCATAGATTCCCTCGGCTTGCGATTGGAGCATACGATCACGATCTGAACATGCTGGATAGCCCAGTGTGCTGTGCTCGATGCCACAAGATCGTGACCTCAAGACTGCTGCAAAAAAAGCATTGCATTGGCACTTTGTACCGCTAGCTGCATGTTGTGATTATGAGCTGAACCCAATATGTGTGAACCCACGCAGGTTCAGAGATTTCTTCGATACGAGATGAGCTGGATCGGGTGTTACTCGGCTTTTATGGGGTTAGACCGGCAATGATGTAGTGTCTCTCACAAGCTCAGGCTGGCAAAAACCATTGGACGTGGCTATGCATCTGTCAAGCATGCTGCAGAGATCGGTGCTGTGGCGGGCAGCAACCTCTTGAAATCGATGCATGGTTTAAACTTATTGACTTACTCTGAAAGTTACGTTCAAGCCCGAGCACCTCCGCATACGATGATCGTCGTTCGTTGTGTCGAACCTCAGGAGCAAGGAGCAAGGACTTCATGAACGAGCCGCTAAGCAGGGGCTGGCTTTGAACTGCGAGGTGTCACAGGTTTCTCTGCCGATGCTGGATGATGACAACAACGTAGTCTGGCGAGACTGGCCGATGATATTGCCGCACAACTTCGAGCTTAGACTGCAGCTAGCTGGGTTATGCTAGTGTGTACTTCTGATATGTAAATAGTACACGCGAATTAATCAAATAAGGTTGCTGCAATGGCCCGTCATGGTCATCTTGATATGCTGGTGGCTGACTGGGATATGGTTCCCGGCTACTGGACAAATTTTCTTCGCGAGTACCCCGGGCACCCTGCAAGGGATAAAATGAGCACCTCCATACCATGCACCCTCTACTGCTACTGAGCTATTTTAAGAAAGCACAGCTGTTTGGGTTTGGTGCTTTTCTAGATTTGGGGACGTAGGTTATTTCTTAGTTTATAGTAACCTTATCTATTTGGTTTTTAAGAAACTTCTCATGGGCACAGGTGATGAAGCTACAGCTGTGAACGAAACCTGGATGTTTTTTATGTTTACAAGTGACCTGCACCCGGCTCCGGGACACTCTGCCTCATCGCGATTCCTATGTGCAATCATACCGGTATCAAGGTATGTGTTGAGTGGTGATGGTACAAACCTGACTCTGCAAGCAGCCTGCTGGGAAATTACGCAAAGCTTCAACAAGCTTTCGAACGAGGGTCTGGTTTTGCACGACTTGCCTTCAATGGGAGGAGCACCTGTGCTCTGACTGCCATAAGCAAATGTATTTTAGCAAGAATACAGTATACAGGGTTTGGATTTGGATTCGAACATGTTCCATTCCTAATGTATCCCAGGTGATCCGGCTACATTTCTTCGTGGCTGGCTTTCGCGGCGACTGGAAGGCTCTGCGACAAGCCTTCAACTTCAACCGATATGCCGACCGAGACAAGGCGGGCTCGACTTGGACTTGAGTTCAACAACACGAAGAGTTGTCCGTGTAGTTGTTTTTTAACATCATCTAGCAATAATAGGTATACTCATAAACAAAGGGAATCCAGAATATAAGTATAGGTCATTAAGCCCATAAATGATCTTCCTCCTCATTTTGTGCTGCATTCCCTTTGCAAGATCTGCTGGATGTGCGAAGCGACCAAAGGCGCTGAGGATGATTCAATGGTGTTTACAAATCTACATACAGCACCGTACATGCAAACGCTTTTTCAGCGAGAGCCCTGGACCTACAGACCAGCTTATCACAGTTTGGCGGGCTTCCATCCAAGCCTTATCTTTCCTGATATTTTGCATTGCTACCACCTGGGCTGTGGAAGAGACCTCTTGGGATCAGCAATTGTTGTAATGATCATGGCTGGTTTTTTTGGACTGGGAACCATCCCGGTTAAGCTGGCTGAAGCTACACGTCGACTCAAGCTGTATGCGAAAAACAACAAGCTGACCCTTCGCTTGAAGAAGCTGACGAAAAAAAAATTGAACTGGACGGGTGCGAACAAGTACCCGGAGCTGAACCGCGGCTGCAATTCTGGTTTTTCTGAACCTGTATGTTTGAAAGTAGGTGATTAAGTACTAAACAAATAGACTTAGCATAAATCCTTTGAAGTACCCAAATAGGAAGAGTTCTGGCTTCGACTCCTACGTCGTGCAGCAGTTTTTGTTGCATGAGATTTATAATTCCACGGACACCTCGAATTTGGATCGACGCTTGATTTTGGCATTGTGGGCTAGCAATCATTGCATCACTCTCTGGTCGAACTCGACCGGGAGATTTCTCACTGGTGATGAGATTTGCAACGTGCGCGAAGCTGGCATGCTGTATTTGAGATCCTATTGTGCTTTAGCAGAGGAGGCAATTGGCGAGGAGAGACGATTGTATCGCATCCGCCCAAAGCTCCACTTGCTGCACCACCTATTTGTAAAGAACGGCTGTGTAAACCCGCATTGTTACTCGACCTGGATGGACGAAGATGCTCTCAAGCATCTTATGAAGACATTGCGGGGCACAGACCGACGGACTGCCGAAGAGCGTCTGTTACAAAGGTGGCTTTTGGGTCTACCGTCGAGCTTCGAGGCAGTGCGTGGAAAAATGAGGGCCCGGCCGATCCCAGGACGGCCAACTCGATCGTCGATGCTCACATAGGGAGCGAGCGCTTTCAGGCTTTAAAGCCTAGATTTAGATTGAGGCCTAGATTTAGATTGAGGATCCCGGGGCCCGGGGTTCAGAAGAATTATCGCGATGGGTGCACCATGGGGCTTTCAAGCTTCAAATCTCTTCGACAATCCTGAAGCCACAATCAAAATCCAAAACCTCAGCCCATTGGCATTGTCCGAGTTTAAATCCCCGACCCCCAGCCGCAAAACCCGAACCCAACCTCCGAGCCGAACCCAACAGCTTTCAGGGAGTCAAGGGTTTTCTCGAGTGTGTGTGTGTGTGTGTACATATGTGGATATGTAATATATATATATATATATATATATATGTACCTCTCTATGTATATGTATATATATATATACGTATAAACCTTAAAGTCCCTAAAGACCCTAAATCCCTAACCCTGCCCAGGTACATGGCTCAAGGTGTCCGCTCTGATGCCCATGATGCTATATATCTTTTTTTCTGTGGCTCAAACGTTTCTTTTTGCTCTTGATGCTCACGGCTCAAAGTACGTGAGGCTCAAGCGCTTGTGATGCTCTTGATGTGTACTCAAAGGTTTGTCATGCTACGATGCTTACGTCTCGAAGGTTTCGTGTGGCTCAAGTGTTTGTGCTGAACGATCAAGTTCCAAAACCGTATGTCCATGAAAAAAATGATTGCCCACTTGTGGCTTGTTTCGTGTACGCTCCGGGTATGGCCACCAAGATTATGGTCAAACGGACTCCCAGGAAGTAGCTAGCCGAGTGTTCGAGGAGACGGCCCAGCACGCGCCACTCTAGCTTTTCCCCCTCCAGGCTCACCCTGAAGTCCGGGGAGAAACTAGCGAAGTTCTCGTTCGTGAGGTCGTCCGCTAGCTGGTTCAGATCCCTGCGGATCCACTGTAGCTGAAGCTCACAGTTCTTAGCGGAGAGTTCCTCTGCTAGCTCCATCAACACCAAGGTCGACGGGAACTTCGTCGTCATAGCCTTCTTCAGTAGCGCCTCTTTTTTGCTTGTTGCGAACTCGCGACGCCCGTGTAAGCACGAACGACGTGTCAGAAGTCTCAGGTCAGAGCAAGAGCAATTGAACTGCACACCAAAAGCTCAAGTTAGCTCTACGTGATGCAAGCCCCGCGGTAGCCGAAGTCCGACGCGGAGTCTAGCACTCGGGTGAAGAACTTTCCTATGTGCAGTCAGTGTACAAGCACAACCGGAAAGCGTCAAAACTACAGAGTCAACGACAGAAGGACTCGGGGTGTACAAAGGGAGCCTTCTACGGACCAAGGCAAAGCCTTATCCTAGACGGACAAGCTTTACAGATGCAGACGCATCAAGGTGCTTACAGACCTTTAAAAAGGAGCCAAAAGCACGAATGCAGCTCCAATCGCAGTTGCCTTACGATCAGATGTACAGAGTCTGAGTGAAGGCAAGGGCGTAAGCCCCAAACGTATTTACACTGTACACGAAGCAGCAGTCAGCGTTCACGACGTCGTCTGAACTCAGGAGTCCTCGCAGCAGCCCAACCAGCCGCCGGCCACAGCAGCTCCAGGAAGCAGCGCAGCAGACCACCACAGCAGCCGTCGCGAGTTTTCACTTGGAGAGAGGTCTCCAGCAGCCTTCAAGCGCTCAAGTAGTACTCACCAAAGGCGTGCAGCCGGAAGAGCACGAAACCACAAGCGCAAGCGGTTGGGAAAACCAAGACTAAACCCTAACCTAGGCCCCTTGGGAGAGGCCTTGTGCGACAGGCAGGCAAGGACGGACCTCCCGGGGGAGGGCCCGAAGGCTTTTAAGGTGTTCGTGCAGTCTCTCCGCAGTCTTAGCAGAGGCACGGACTGCAGTTACTTCCCACTCCTTGGCGATGGCATTTTCAGCATGCCACCTTTCGCGAAGCGAGCCTCGCAGTCGCCTGGCAACACAAGCTTTGGCAGCTTGATCCGCCGCAGAGTTAAGAACTCTGAGGTGATCAGCATTCAAGGCGGGATGCTCCGGTCTCCAAGTCAGATGTCTCCCGTGGGCAGGGACCCACAAGAATGTCAAAGTGACACCTTGGGCCCGAACAGCGGTAACAAGGGACGACAGTAGAGCTCCAAACAGGGGCATTGCCTGGCAATTGAAGCGAGCCTTCAATGCCGCTTCACAGTCAACAGCGATAAAGACGTGGCCTCTGGAGCCGCTTTGGGCCGCTAACAGGACAGCCTCAAGGGTGAGTCTTAACCCGCACAGCTCGGCTCTGAAAGAGGACTGGTCTTCAGTATTATCGGCTCCCGCGAAAGCTTGATCTGGGCGGTTGACGATCGCCGCATGCGCCGCAATTCCATTTTTTGCAGAGCCATCCGTGGCAATTACGATGTGATCAGCACCTTGAAGCTCGGTCGCAATTGCCTCGGCGAGCTCCTCAGTGAGTCCAGTGGGGTCAACAGCCGGTGGTGGCGGGGGCTGTTCTGGAACATGCTTTGACAGAAGGCGCTCCTCTCCACGATGCTGTGGCGGGCTCAAGCCATTACGGAGGTCACTGGTTTTGGGACATACCCACAAAAGATGCGATCGGCTTGGCTGTGCATTCCCACACATACAGCTGCAGCGCTCCGCTATTGCATCTTGCGGGGCATTAGCATTGTAAAACCATGTCGTCCCTCCCGAAAGGAAAGCCGCACGGCGGTTATACTCAGAGGAACGATCATTAAGGATGACGCGGTGACCCTGAAACGTTACCCTGTATCCCGCCGGGGGGCCCTGGAGATCCAAGCCTTGTGCGAGGTTGGGTGCAGCCTCCCTGTGAAGCGATTTTGCAATGCGGCGGCACCTCAGCAGAAACTGCCCTCTATAAAAATCCTCCAACCACCCTTTCAAGACAGAAAAATTTTCAAATCCAACACAGACTTTTCGGAGGCCTCCACTGGCATCTCTCCGGAAAATGGTGTCGGCTCGAGCATTCGTCCACCACCCCGTCCGATGCAAAAGATCACCGAACTGAGGCAGATGAGCTATCCAAGTTGTTGGCATGGCGGTTAGGGGCAACAGGTCATGCCACACTGGCGGTTTGGCAATCCACCGCCACGCCAACTTGCACAATCCAAGATCCAAGGCAAAAGCAGGTTCAAGGCCCCAGCCCAGCAGCTCATAGAAGGCAACAGTGGCTGTGTCTCCTCCGTATCCTCCACTGAAGAGGTGACGAACTTCTGATCTTACAGCATCCAAGTCCTGGCGGGTAGGCCTGGCAAAACCTGAGGCCCATGCCAGACACGGAATGACAAGGGATCGAACCAGCATGATGCGTGCTCTCGTGGCGGCTTGAGTCCATCTTAAAAGCCTGAGCCTCAGCACAGCTTTTCTCAGTGAGAACTTGGGCAAAGCGCCTGAGCCATCAAACTCAAAGCTAACACCGAGGAGGTCAAGTGTTGTGCAGGTCTTAAAGTGCCATCGCCTTGCAAGATGTTGCGTTCCATCATTGTGCACAGCAGCTGCGATGTAACACTTATCAGCAGATAGCCTGAGCGAAAAGGCATCATCAAAAGCAGCACTGGCACTGAGAGCTCGCTCAAGGTCTTCGAGGGTCCCCGATGGCTCTAAAACAAGGGTGCGATCATCCATAAAAACTTGCACACCTACCTTGCTACACGAGGCTTGCAGAAAGGCGCTCCAACAATGTGATAAAGCAGCTGCAGCAATCGGACTGAGCGGGCAGCCTTGGGCGAAGCCCGATTTGATGACATGACAGCCTTCATCATACGAGCCTGCGAAGCAAAAATAACGCGAAGCCTGACAATAAAAGGAATCCAAGAGAGGTGCCAACTGCATTGGTGCCCCCAGTTTTTTAAAAACCTTATGCATTGCCGGCATGCACAGCGAATCAAAGTATCCAGCGATGTCGAGGAGCGCTGCATTCCGCGTCCCACGATGCAAAGCTGCTTGGATTTGGGACAGCACATCGCAAATGGACCGGCCAGCAAGACCGCCGTGGTCGCATTCGGTGGCCCATTCAGGCGTCCATTTTCGGAGTGCTTTGGCGACGATCTTGGTGCCGATACGCCAGATCACTTGGGTGAGGGTGATTGGTCTGGTCGCAGGCCCGCCTTTCTTTTTGATCAGCACGACCTTAGCCGAGCGCCATAAGTCAGGCACAACACCTCGATCCCAAACCTCCTGCCACAGTGCAGCAACGTGCACCCACCAGCTGATCGGCATTCTACGTAGATCTCGCCCAAACCAGCCGTCGGGACCTGCAGCCTTATCGGCTATGGCAGCCGAAACGGCGCGAAGCTCCTCGGCTTCAAATTTTAAGTCGATAACCGTCTGCGTCACCGTAGGTACCTTCTGCAAAATGCGATCGATGGCCTCGTGCTTTGGCTGTGGCTCAGCTTGCCATTTTGCGATCCATTCCTGGGTCTGGTCACGTACCACAACCGACGGATGTACAGGGCCAGCTTGGCCAGCAGAGGCAAAGTCAAGTGATCGTTTTTCAAACTCAAGTTGAGCATCGGCTCGGGTTTTGACAAAAGTGCGTTGCTTTCCGCTGTCATCCCGAAGGAGTTCCTTCCAGCGGGCTCGTATGGCCTTTGCTTCCTGGTCCTGACACTCAAGGAGTCGTCTGTCGACAAACGAAGCAAGCTCGTTAAAGTCTGAGCTAACCCAAGGGAGATCTGGAACAAAACGGCGGGCCCGTGGAAGGGACTTCACAACCTTTTGTGCAGTCTGAGGGTCACCGGTTTCAAGAACAACAGCAAGTTGGCGCTGGAGCTTTGTCAGTGTTTTAACTGTAGCCGAGCCCTGAAGAGCAGGATGAGCCTGATGTTCCATGCGGCGAGGCATCCACGACTGATGTCTAGGTAGGGCCTCAGCTCTATCGTGGCAGAGACATGTCTCCGCACACGCCGAAAGGAAATTCCAGGCGCGGTCGAGTTGTCCATGATTGAGGGCCTCACGAAACGGGGCACAATCGATGGATGCAAACGCTGCAGCAACATCCTCCAAAGGCTGATCGTGTGGGGATCGCCTCAGCGGACCCACATGGAAGTCAGGCACATTTAAAGGGATCTGATAGCCTACCGATGCGTGATCGGAGAACTCTGGATTGAAGTGCATGATAGCATCCGCCGCAATCGACCAGTGGCATAAGCCGAAATCTATGCGTCGCTTGCGTCCTGGCCCCGTGGCCGGAAGCGGAGCTCCTTGGGCCGCATCATCCAAGGAGTTTACGGCACCGCTGGCCCGAGCTTCGCCCACAATGGCCTCGTGGGGCTCTAGATTGAAATCACCGGCGACGATAAACGGCAAATTGCTGTGACAACAGATCGCCAAGATGTCCTCTGTCTGCGCAGAGGCGGCCTGTGGATTGCCGGATTGCGCATAAATAGCAGCAATCAAAACTTGCTTAACTTCGGAGTCATTCTGAAAATCAAAAATGCCAGCGGCGCATCTTGACGAAGCAAATCCTTCTGCCACCTGAAGACTCCTAAAAGTCACCCTGCTAACCAAGGCAACCCTTGAAACTCCAGGACCTTCCGGCACAGACAATGAAACCTGGTATCCTGGCCGCTTCCAAGCCTTAATAAAGCCTGGTGCCGACGATTGGTTGATATCGGCCTCTGCCACCGTGCAGACCTGCAACTGATGGCAGTCCATAAAATTAGCAAGTGCATCGACAGAAGAAATGCCTTTACCAGCAAGGTTTATAGTTGCAATTCTCAGGAAAACGGCAAGTTGAAAATATCTCGGGCCTGTTGGAGCAATTTGCTCTCACGCTGCTTCTTCCCTCCGGGGGGCGTGTTTTTGCCATGAGCCTTGGCAAGCACGTCAATGGCCTTGACACGGCGCTTGGCTTTCTTTTGGGCGGTCTCCTTGTTACACAGTCCCCTTTTGGCGTGGGAAAGGGCATCCCCAGAGGTGCGAAAGGGACCGCAGCAGTTCAGACACATCCATCCAAAAGATGCCGCAAGACCACCTTGAGCCTTAAAGGTTTTGGAAGGCGCTGCCCTGGGCCAGCAGAACAGCCTGAAACCCTCAAGGTCAGTGCCCTTGGCTTTGCTAAGGCGCTTGATGCACTCGCGACCCCTTCGTGTGACGGCCGCCTTCTCAATGGTGCTGGCACGGTCGAGGGCTTTGAACTTTTTCCAGGAAGTATCAGGATGTGCTTGTGTGCAGTGGGCCCGCTTGTCAGCAGTGACAGCGTCTGCACTTTTTGAAAAAGCATCCTGCGCGACAATCCCGAAATTGCAAATCGGGCACTTCCAGTGAAGCGCCTGGCCTCGGCCTGCACGAATCAAAGAGGGCTGCCGCCGACCATGCAACACGCCTGAAGGTACCTGGCCAGGGTGATGGGCTTTGTAATGGCTATAAAGCATGGTCTTGCGGGCAATGGCATTTTTTGCAGTGGCCCTAAAGGGGCACAAAGGACAGACAACAGCAGTCTTACGATCGAGACACAGCCCCGCACGGCCCCAGTACCTGATTTGGCGGTCAGTTGGCGGTTGGGGGCCAGTGAAGAGTTCTCCATCATGCTGATCGTGGCTTGCAACCGCCGTCGTCTCAGAGGCAGCAGGGAGCACGGACACATCCTCATTCCTGCCTTGATCAGCAGGGGATCCGGGCTCTGTCCAAACTGATCCTTGGCCCGAGCTGATGGTGACCTGGGCCTTTGTCCAGACCGACTTGTGACTGCACGAGCTCTGTGAAGGCAATGTCCAGACCGAGTGCTTTGAAGCAGCAGCGCTGGTTCCAACAGAGGATGTTTTGCCACCCCCTCTCATGGGCACCTTAGGCGGGGCAGTGACAACATCGCGCAGTTCCTGCGGCAATTTATCTACTGGTCGGAGCCACTCGTAATGGCTGCCATTAAAAACCAATACTACAACCCTTTTGCGCTGCTGAACGTGGACAGCGCACACCTCGAGGTCGGGCGACCGGGGATAAATGACGAATTTAACGTCAAAAATGCGCCCTAGCGCGGCGAGTTCTAGATGGCCTGACCATGTCCCGACCTCCGCTATAGCATTGATATACTCTGTAAACGAACTGGCAGGAGCCTTATTCGGCATCTCTCTATCCCAAGCAAGTTCGTACCGCTCTTTGTGTTTAGTGAAGTGTTGTGCAACTTTGGCTCGTAACACACTATGCGGTTCTGGCTTAGTCTTGAGAACATGAGCTAAGGCCGAGGATGCAGCATGGAAAAGGCAATTACCGTCGGTCGGGGCGCTTTCTTGCACCATGCCTTTGGGAAGGTCCCGGGTTTCAGTGCACGTGCGTTTTGCGGTGCTCGTGCCTTTGCTCGGGGAGCCCCTTTTTGCCTCTTTCTCATCCTTGGCCTCTTTAGCTTCCTGAGCAGCCTCCTTTGAGTTGGCCGATTTCATGGCAGCGTCATCCTCCGGCTGATTTTTGTCCTCGTCCGGCTGAACAACTTGTGCAACCTTGGTGGTGTCCCCAAAGGGGTCACGCGGAGGCAACAGTGACCAGGAGCCATTCGTTCTGATGGTTTGGGCTTGGGGTCTTGCACGGACCGGCGCCCATCTGCACCACATAATTTCAGTCTGGTCCCCATCATCAAAAGGAAGGGCAACGACATCGTGATCAGTGGTGTGAGCAGCTTTGAAAAAGAAGTTGATTCCCTTACGCGTGCGCTGCTGGCGAGTCATGGTCACTTCTGCAAAGATGCTCGATACAGCCTCGAGAGCCTGGGCCGCACTCCAGTCGAAAGGGGCATGCTCAAGCATCCACATCCTGGTGATGGCCTGATTAGCATCCCTAGCAACCCGTTTCCCCAAACCCCTCCGTCCGACTATGATGCCATAAGGGGCTTCTACAGTCCTGACCCGTTGCAGGAAGTCAAGATCACTTTCCTTGGGCTCTTTCTCAGCCCACTGCACAACAAATGAAGGGAAAGATATCCATCTCGGTGGGTCGATAAAGATGCCGTCCCTCCCACTCAATGCAACGAAGGCTGTAACGTCGGCCTCGGGGACTCTAAAAAGGGCGTAAACCTTATGATCTTCCCCCTGTGCTTGCTCCTTGGCCCATCCCCAACTGTCCTGCACTTTCATATGTTGCTGCGCAACCCAAGTGTGGAAAGCTCGCTGGGGACTTGCTATCACATCTTTCCAGGTGGCCTTGGAAACATACCTCTTATAAATCCTCACATACAAGACTGCTGTTTTCGCCGGCATGACTTTTTGAGCCCTGGCAGCAGCTACCTTTGGGCCCGGCAGGTCAATTCCAGCCGTGCTGATGTGATGGAAATGGACCTGCTTGAACACACAGCTGTTCCCTATGGCACCAGGACAGCGAGCTGAGGCATCAGGGTGATCAGGTGTGACCGCAACGACCCCATGAGGTCGCTTGGATCCAAGAAGCAAGGTTGCCAAGAGGTCGGCCTGCCCTGGCCCACAAAGTACGACAGCTTTGTAAACGCCAGTGGTTTTTTCCAGCTCATCTGCGACAGCATCGAAGTTGACGGCAGGGGCCGTCCAATCCGAGGACCGAAGGCTCCACGAAGCCTGCGGTTTTCTGCGGTCTACGGTCTGCCATTCATCGGTTGGCTGCGCTTCGGCTGCTCTTGGCTGGTCTTTGCCTTTAGCGCCGTCGCCTTTGCCACGGCCGTTGCCAACCTCAGCGGGCTTGCCACCTTCCTTGCCACGACCTTTGCCTACATTGCCCGGCGATTGACCATTGCCGGGGCCTTTGGCGCCGCCTTTGGCGCCTTTGGCCTTGCCTTTGGCATCTGGCGAGCTTCTGTCAGGCTGGGTGGCATGGGCGCTGGAGGCAGCAGAAGAATCCTCCCCAGCGGGTGCGTCGGACGCTTTGCCATGCTGACGCTTGCGCCGTTTCGGCCCAGGCTGTTCAATCTCAGATCCTTGCCTGTCACCAAGCGAGAGGCCCTGCAGGGCTTCCTGGATGGCTTTTTGCACTGCGGCCTCGATGAAAGCACGGATGTTCGAGGCGAAATCGGGCCCCAAGATACTGCCAATATCTAGATTGAAACCGCTCTTACCCTCGGATCCCTTGGGTCCTGGATTGCTCGCTTCACCGACACGCACCCCCACGAGGGGCGACCAACAAGTTTGCAGCCGAGGAATACAGGCCAAGGGCAGTGCACACCCGACCCACATGGCAACCTCAAAGATGCAATCAAGAACTCCCGGGTCCTGGGTATCGCTGGTCACGCTGCGCGGTCTCCGGAGGTCCGGGTTCCTCACCTCAGGTTGCGTCAAGTCGGCATAAACATTTTTATGGTGCTCAGCGCTCCTAGCAGCTGTGTCGGTACCTAGGGATATACTCGGATCTTGCGACCTACTTGAACCCACGGTACCAGTTGACAGCGCAGTGTGCAGCCACAACAGATCGGGATTATAGTGCGAAGCGGTATCATCGCAGCAAATGGCATCAGAGGATTCGGCGCTCCAAGGAGAGCAGGAGACACTAAGGGATATACTTGGATCTTGCGATCGACCTGAACCCTCCGTGCCCTGCAACCCTGTATGCTGCCTACTTGTTTCACAATCAGTAAGCTTGTCCCAATGCACAAACCAGACAGCACTTGCAGTGGATGTTCCCGGGTCTTTCGACCGGCCCTGACCACTGTTAGCGCGGCCCGGCACCTCATCATGAAAGGCGGTGATTTCTCCTAGCAGCCCTGGGCAGCGCCTTAGCGCAGGATTAGCTGAATCATCGCTGGCTGCCGTGATTTCCTCGCACAGCAACCCGTTGAATGCAATAGCACTGGGCCGCTCGGCTTCAAGAATGCTGGCACTGCAAGGTCTGCACTCGGGTACCCCACTAGACCCACAAAGAAGAGGTGAGGCCCTAAACCTTAGGGGGGCAAATGGGGCAACGTGGTCCGTGGATGCAGCATCTGCCCTGCTAAGGTCGGCGCTGTCGTCGATCGTCGTGCATCCGGGTACCCCACTAAACCCACCTAAGGAGGAAAAGGTCCTAAACCCTAGGGGTTCAGCAGGGGCACTGTCGTCACCACACGGGTCGTCATCACCATCTGCAGGCGTGCACACAGGTACCCCGCTAAACCCACCTAAAGAGGGCGAGGTCCTAAACCGAAGGGGGTCAGCAGGGGCATCGTCACAACCAAGGCAGTCGTCGTCGTCAGAAGTCGTCCGGCACACGGGTACCCCACTAAACCGACCAAAGGAGGGCCTAAACCCTAGGGGAGAGTCGGGAATCCCAGCAGCGTGACCCTCGCGGCCACAATCGCACCGGCACCTCAAATTGTAGTGCTGCTGCAGGCCGTGGCTGCCCACATCGCAATTCGTCTCCCAAGGAAGCTCTCCGCCAGCTGCTTCACTGCAGTGGGTAACTGCAAAGTCGCACTGGCAACCCAAGTGGAGGGGCTGCTTCTTGCCGTCTCTGGCAGCTCCACAGGTATTCGCGTCAAGAGTTTCCCAGCCGCCGTCCTCGAAGAAGAACTGGCCGCCTGGCTGCTTCCCATGGCCATCGAGAGTCCTACCGCTCGGGAGCCCAGAACGGGCTGGTGGCGGGTTAGGGCTCGGGAGTGGCCTTTCTGGCTCTTGATTTTCTTCTTTCGACCAGTTTTCTCGAGGGGAAGGGCTGGCCGCTACAACACTTCTTTGCCCTTCGCGGGTCTTCATCATTTCTTTATGGGGCACAGTTCCTACGTCTCCGTCGTTGCCAAGAAGGGGCTCGGAAGTGGCTAGGTGCAGCCCACCATCCTCGAGAACTAGTGCTCCTGAGCAGCGACCGTCCTGGAAGGCGAAGTGGCCGCCTCCAGCATCACCCAGTACTCCTCGAGAAAAGGCCTGAGCGACGTCACTCAAGCTCGGGCGCGGGACAGTGACTTCAGCGAACCTATAGTCCTGAATCGCGGCGACCGGCTCGAAGGTGACCTTCTCCCTGGTCGGCCGGGTCTGGTAGAGGAACTGGCCGCCACCAGCAACCTCCAGCGTCCCTGCAGCGTCACCAAGAAATGTTCGATCGACCTCTGTAGCGGCGGGGCAGCACGCGCTCCCTGAGCAGAGAGCACTCCCCAAAGATGCTGCATCGATCCAATCGTCGTCTCTGTTCTGCATCACGACTGCAGTCGCCTCGCAAGAGTTTTGGCCCAGCTCGGGCCTGAAGACATCGTCGTCGTCAACTTGGGCCTGCAAACCATTGCCGGCACTGCCCTCTTCCGAGGGCCTGGTAGCGCCGCCTAGGCGGCCATTCTCGAAGCACACTCCAAACTGTCGACCCCGACGCCACAAACAGCTGCATAGGAAGAAACCACACTCTTCTCCTACAGCTGCGCGTGCATCATGTTCACAGTTCGCGTGTACATGTACATCCGAGTCAAGTGAGCTGATCGGCAACCCAGAGTTGCTGACAGCTTCCATTACTGCTTGCTTCTGTTCTGCCAAAATGGCATGGATTCTCCACAAAGGGGTAGCACCAGAGAGGTTGCCCTTCTCAAAGGGAAACCGTAACTTTCGACCGTCAACCCAGACGGAAAAGTATGGAACTTGTGGCTTCTCTGGAACTTTGGGTAGGGAAAGTTCAGGAGTCGATTGAGGTAGAAAACGGAACTTATTCAAGTAGTCGCGCGCCATGCCACCGGATGACGGAGCCATCGCTCAAGCACAGCTTTTCTAAACGGCAAGCGCTGTTGGCAGCCGCCCTACCCTACGACACCCGGCTTTGATCGCGAGGAGATCGCGCTTGAGCCAAAGCCTCTTCAGTAGCGCCTCGTTGGACTGGTTGTCGGTGTAGCCACGGATGGCCACCTTGGAGGTCTTCTTAGCGTCCCCTTCCGGGACCCAGAGCCTCACACCAACCAGAGTAGCCAGTAGCTCCAGCGCGGCTATGACCTTGTTCGGGTCCCCCTTAGCGAAGGCCCAGGGGGCCCATTCCTTCTTCACCTCTAGCGAGAACCAGGGACCGTGGCAGCCGTCCACTAGCTCGAGGAAGCCCCCAATCCAGGCACGTCCATTCTCGGCTTTAGCATCGGTGTAAAAGGAGAGCGGTGCCGCGCCGTCCAATAGCGAGGCTGGCTCATGGAGACGGCCTCCTGCTTCCAGGCGATCTGCTAGCCAACCACAGAGGACGCGAATCATCGTGGGTAGCGTGAGGAGCCCCAGCTTCCCCTGGATAGCCGAGGACCAGGCGTGTAGCGGTCCCAGGAAAGGCCGCTCCCAGTCTAGCGCCATGGAGGCGAACCCCAGGCGCCCTAGCCCCTGTGCGAAGGGCACTAGCGACCCCGAATCGGCACTAGACCGGAGACCATAGCAATAGTCTCCGAGGAGATAGTCTTTGTAGCGCTCGAAGAGGGCCATGGTGACATCCTGTAGCTCCTCCCGGTCATAATTAGCGTGTTCTGGAGCACCGTGAGCCGCAGCCGTAGCTGCTCCGGCCCAGAGGGCGTGGCGGCCCTAGCTCCTCCCTTCTTCATGGATAGCGTGCCATTGCCATTCCAGACGGGCAGTAGCGTGTCTGGGTCCCACTCGTCCCGGCTGATGACCTCGGTTAGCGGCTCCGCCCGGAACTCGCCAGATTCGAGCTCGCCTAGCTTCTTCTCAATGTACTCCTTAGCGGGGGTCTGCTTGTCTTCCAGGTCTCCGAACTTAGCGGTGAAGGCCTGACGCATGGCCATGTAGTCGGTAGCGGGGATGGGCTTCGCCCAGTCCCGGACCTCGCTTGTAGCCTCCGCCTCCGCTTGCCGCTCGGTGCGGGAGTTAGCGGTCCTCCATGCGATGGTGACCCCCGCGGCCTGAGCGCGGCTAGCGAGCGAGGTGGACGGCTCAATTGCAAATTTAGCGACGGTATCAATACCGTTGGAAAAGAGCTCGGATTGGATAGCATCCGAGACTTTATGCTGCACTAGCAGGAATCGAAGCTCGCTGCTTCCGAGGGCTAGCTTCTTTGCCAGAGCCTCTGCCATGGTAGCAGGCACGACGGGCCCTACGCCACCCTAAGGAAAAATTTGTCAAGGGAAAAATTCCTGCTAGCACATTGGGGAAAAGCTCCTAGCGTGAGAGTGTGTGTGGGGAGTGCCAGTCGATAGCTTTCGCTGAAAGGGGGCGCTGCAGCAGAGAGCGGCCCTAGCAGCCCCACCGACCCCGGCCCCCCCCCCCTCAGTACTCCCGACACTCTCTCGCTCTAGCTTTCCCTTCTTTCTGGCTGCCGACATGTGTGTAGCATGACTGTAGCGTGCACACACTGGCAACTGTAGCAAGGGACGACCCTGACTTTTGCTGCGGCTAGCGGTCGGCAGCAGAGGGCGCTGCAAAGGTAGCCGCTTGCAAAGACAAAAGTAGCGGGTGCAGGTAGCGAGGCCGGGGCCTGTAGCGAGGCAGGGGCTGCCCTTTTTAGCGGCCGCCCCAGTCCTCCCCGCGGCTCCACTGCTTGCACCCATCACAGCAGTGAGTAGCGTGGTCGTCGCACTTGAACCACATCCGCCTGTTGCAGGCTCTTAGCGAACAGACCTCGCAGGTCGTAGCGCACCTGAAAATACAGGCGTTAGCGTCCCAGTGGCCTAGGGAGTAGCGGCAGCGTCCAGGCTGGTACTGCGTATAGCAGCTTGGCAATAGCATGGCCAGCAACTCGCTAGCGCGCTCCGCTTGGGGCGTGCTAGCGGGAGGATGGGCGTAGCGACACATGAGTGCCACGTCCTCCCGGCCTAGCGAGTAGAGGTGCTCTCCACTGTGGATAGCGTTCTTCACTAGCGTGTTGTCGGCACCTTTGCCGTAGCGGGGGTTGGGCCCCTTGCCCTTCCCCTTCTCGAAGCGCTGGTCCCAGGAACCTAGCGGCCACAGATCGCGGTCAATAGCGGACCACGAGAGCTCGAGGTACCAGTAGCCCTTCCCTTTGGGAAGGCTGTTAGCGTGGGCCCCCGGAGGGGGCCTGGCTCGCCCCTTTAGCGCCACACTCACGGGTGTGCCCTTAGCGTCCCGGACGTTATCGGGCATGCCCCCCGCCTGGTCGATAGCGCGGTCCTGCTGGAGCTCGCGGCGTAGCAACTCCAGGTAGCGGTCCGGGTCCTCGAATAGCGTGCTCCACGTGTAGTCGAACACATTGATTGCAGCGGCCGGTCCGCGGCCCGATCTCCATGAACTTCCTAGCGGCCGACTCCGCCGGCGTAGGATCCATGGTAGCAGGTGCAGCGGGGGCAGCCGGTGCTGCCGTAGCGGCGGCAGTAGCGGCCACCGGGGCAGGATCGGTACTGCTGGTAGCGGTGGCGTCCTGGTAGCGGCTATGGCCTCCGCCTCCTTGCGGGCCTTGGCCTTTGCCGCGCTAGCGGCCGCGTTGGCTGCGGCGAGCTGGTCTAGCTGGGCCTTTGCTGCAGCAGCGGCGGCCTCTGTGGCGGCGAACCTCTGCGTGAGGCCCGCTGACATAGCGTCATCCAAACTAGCGATGTCGTCCTGGGACAGGTCGGCCCAGCTCGTAGCGGACAGAACTCGACGCTCCATCATGTTAGCGGGGCTCTGTTGGCGGACCCCGGCCCCTAGCCACTTCGTGGGCGGGGCCTCTTTGTCTAGCTTTTCGATCGCCTCCTGCGACATAGCGATCAGCTCCTGTAGCAGAGGCTTGTCGAGATAGCGGTGCAGCCCATCGGTGCACTCTGAGGGTCGGAACCTTAGCGCCCTCCGCAGACCACGGAGGGTCTCTGGCAGGTAGTCGCCAGTAACGGGCTCCTCGGCCGTAGCGGGGCCATCCGCTGGCCCTGCGCCCTTGGGCGACGTAGCTCTGGCATCCTTGCCTTTTCCTCCCATAGCGGCGCCCAAGGCGCGGATCGGGTGAAACGGCTAAAGAAAATCTACTTTGATGGGCTGTGGGTTAGCTACTGATTTAGCGAGGTTGCCGCTGTTAGTAAGTATACACTAACAATGGTGTAACCATGTTCTAAGTGCAGTGTAAAGGGTTATAACTGTTCTAAATGAATAGATGAAATGCTAACTGTTAGAGTAAAATTAGGATCATGTTAATTTCATGTTAATTTTAGCATAATTTTAGCAGCTTGTGTTTTTAATTTTTGATAAGGGCAATGTATGTATTTGATCATGCTTCTTCCTGGCTTCATGCATGACATGCAGCCCGTCCGGGCTTTTGGCATGGCAGCCCTTGGGGCTTTGAACATGTATGTCATGCAGTGTTTTTCATGCAACCTGCATGCAGGTTTCCATGGCAATGCTTGTTGGCTAAGCAAATCTTGCATTCAGCCTCCATGGCTTCTTGTTGTTGTTTTCTTGTTCGTGCATGGTCTTGATTGCATGGATGTTGTGTGGACTATATAGAGTTTTCTGCCCGAGTTCCCTCCTGACTTCCAGCTTTGTTCCTGTGAATAATGGATTTCGTTGGATGGCATGCCTGTGCTACTCCCGGGTGCCAGAGATTATGCCGAGCTTCGAAGAATTATTGCTGCTCCAATTGTCGCAAGAACTATGGCAACCATTCTCGGAGATGTGAGGATGTTCAAGTGCATCGCAATAGCGAGCTGCCACCTGGCACGAACGTTCCTTGTCAAGGCTCGCCACAGTGCGACAGGATGACGACGAGTCCTCACCATTGGTGCTGTAGCTGGTGCAAGTCAGGGCTAGGGGTGCGCAAGCCATCCTGTACGGTTCGGCAGAACCGCATGGCCTTGCAGAATCTTTCCCAGGGCCAGGGCCAGGGGCAAGGGATTGATTTGAACGGCATGGATTAGATGGGCATCATGCGGGCAGTTTATGAAAAAGAAAACCAGGAGGGTCCTCGGTGCTTTGGTTTGATCGCTTTCACTTCTTCTCAGGTGGGTAGTATGAGTAATGACATCAGAGAACAATCGGAAAATCTCAAGTTCAGGCTGCCCAAACCAGCTGCGGTCGCTGCTCCAGCCCGGCTGTTGCCGAGGCCATTTGCTTGCACCGATCAGGGGGGCCTGGGACGAGAGCAATGGTGGATTACGGTTCGCCATACAACTCCATCACAATGGTTACCTTCGACCCGCCTCATCACTTCTGTTCGCGATGAGGGGGAGCAGTCATTATCACTTCACTTTCGCTTATCACGGTGGTGATGGCATCGCTCTCTGAAGGTGACTTGAGGAGGTTACAAAGGAGTCTGGTTGAGATTGCTGAGTTGGCTCACTTGTTCTCCTGTAACTTCTGTGTTGTATTGTGTGGGTCCGTCGATGACCGTATGTTGCCGAAATTGCACGGCTTGGAAATGCATCTCTGGTGTGCGCAGGGCTCCAGGCATTGCTACTTGCGAGCTGTGTCCAGGACATCGTCCTCTCAGGAACAGAACATCAGATCGCTAAGGCATTCCATAAGCACGCAGTCGCAGATCTTGATGATTTAGAGGATAATGCTTCTTCACATCTTGCTAATCTTGCGAACTTTAGGAAGGTGCTTGCCTGCCCCTGTGCAGCGGCTCATCAGAGCACGCCAGAGATGATCAGCGACCCCCAGCAACGAGCGGATGGCGCAAATCGGGCCTCTGTGCCCGCGAGCATCTCGCAGACGGGGGACTCCATCAAGAGGGAGTGGGCTCACTATCATATGTGGGCTGGTGTCTTCGGACACGAACTTGGCCTCAACCCAGATAAGGACTGGCAGGTCAGTGTGCAGCAATTATACCAGGGCGCCGAAGCCCAGAGTGCCTTGGGGACGTGCCTAGGCGACGAGGACCATGGCTACAAGGCCCTTCCGAAGATCGCGCTCGTCTCCGACGAAGGTCCAGCCCGGCGACAGCCGTGGCCGTGAGAAGGCGTGCATTATAGTTTCTGACTCGACCCTGATCTTTAAAGCTGGCGCGAGGACGTTTGTGGAGACGGCCGAGGATTTCAAGGCCCTGACAGGACCCGGGCCATTTTACAGCAATACACAAACGTGAAGCAGAAGGCTATGTGTGGAGGGAACTTGCACTCCATCGTGGAGGCCGTGCTCAGCTTCATCCCGGAGGTCATCAACGAGTCGCTCAACCCTGAGAATCTTGAGGTGGACATTGTTGTTGTCTGGATGGGCAATGAGCTGTGCGGCCGCCGTGGAGTGTTTGTTGATCCCGGCACTCCCCAGTGGCAAATTGGCCCAGAGGGCCTGAGTGCTCAGGGGGTATGGTCGGAAATTGCCGCGAGCCTTTTCGGTGAGATCGACGGTCTAGCCGCCCTTCAGGGCAGGCCAGTGGTGGGCTCCATCCAGATTGTGAGCGACGCCGACCCCATAGACTACGGTCTTCCGCCTGAGTACCGAGAGGCCATCAGAAAGTTCTTAGGCTACGCTCGGAGCCGCGGACTCTATACAGCCTCCCTGAAAGAGTCGGTCGCGCAATCCCCAAGCATGACCACTATCATTTCAGGGATGATTCGACACACAGGGCGGCACTGGCATCGGCGATTGGGCAGAGGATCAAAGTCTGCCAGGCCGACCATCTTTTCAACAAGATGCCGCCGGCGGTCTTGGACGAGCTGGCAGATCTTTCCCTTACGATCCTAGGGGACAAGAGTCTATTCTATGCAGTACGTGCTTGATGTACCTTGTATAGAGTCCAGCTTTCCCGCCGCCTTCAAAGGCAGGCCGAGATTCGTGAAGCCGCAACTGTGACGGGCATGAGGGAAGTGCCACAGGACATCCTGGACTGGGAGTATGCGAAGGCTCACGAAGAGGCAAGCGCCGTGCTGAAGAGCAAGCCAATGAGCGTGCCCGTGCTGAGTGCAGGGATCCAGCCCCACATAGTGGTGGCCATTCTGGCAGTGCTTCTTCCCGTGAGGTTCCGGAGGCTTCCTTCGACGAGGTCCCTGCCGCGATGCCGTATCGTACCGAAACCCATCGGACGTTCTCGGCTGTCCGCGAAGGCATGACCAAGAAGGACGCCTCCAGCGGCTTTTTCAAAGCTACCAGGATGATGCAGATCTTATGGAGATGTGCGGATTCGTGGACGAAGATGTCTGCCCAGAGGATCCCGAGGGCGAAGGAATGCTAGTCATCCTGCCCGAAGAGATCCCCACTGATCACCTGCCGCGATCCAATCTCAAGGACTGGAAGCAACGGTACCTTACAGGCGTGGTGAGGGGATCGAACGTTCAGCTGAAGTCACGCAAAGGAAAATGGGTCCGCATCCAAGAGGTTATCGAGCACATGTGGCGCCTGAAGGCCTTTGCCGGGCCATGTTGGCAGGGCCCCCCTCAGAGGACTCTGAGGCTGTGCATCCAGAGATATGTCTGGATTTGGAAATTTTGCTGAGGCAGTCTACGACGGCACCCCGCCTCTGCGAACAAAAGGGCCGAAGCTGTGGCTGCTTAAGATGTCAAGGAAAAGCGCCCTTGGCAAGAGCACAGCTTGCATAGGTACATGCTACAGGAGGAAAAATCTATGCTCCAGGGGTACGAACCCCGAACCCCGTGGCTCTTCAGCAGCCAGACCCAAGCAGAGAAAGCAATCGGTAATGCTTACCACCCTTTGCATTTGGGCATCATGCTGTGTCCTTTGCTGGAGATTGCTTTCCTGCAGGGCAAGTTGAAGTCCGAGCCGCAGACCATTACTCAGGAAGAGTTGTGGCAGCTAACCCCTCCCCCAGAGGCAGCTCTGGCAGCTCAGCTCTCAGAAGGCGACGAAATGGACGAGGGCTCTTGAACAATGGGCGGAAGAGCAGGCCCAAAAGGCGGCCGCAGTTCACCCGGAGCCAACGATGCCACTGCCCATAAAGGTGAAGGTGGAGCCTGGGTGCAGGACTTGGGCTTCCGCCGAAGTTCACCCGGAGCCAACGATGCCACTGCCCATAAAGGTGGAGACTTGGGCTTCCGGCAGACTCAAAATGGAAAGGTCCAAGCGGGCCTCTGTGGTGAATTTGGCTTCACCACAGAGGCGGGTCCGGCAAAAGACAGGCGACTGCTAGGTTGGCTAACAGATTAATTCGAAAATTAGCAACCAAGCAGGTTGCTGCAAATTACGTGCAACCTTGCTGCTGGATGTGAACTAGACAGAAACTGAACGGCGAAAACAAATAGGTTTCGTTGGAGCAGACCGAGGCAGGGGGGACAGAGCAAGCCAATCCATTAATGTGTCATTCCCATAGCATGCTAGGGGTAGGGTTTCAGCTTGGCAGAGCGAGAGTTCGTAAAACCATGGATGCAAGAACCTCTGAGCTTTTCCCGCAGCCGTGTTGGGCCGCTCTGCCCCGGGTGTTAACTGGTGGGTGTACAGTGTACAAGAGACTGCTGTTCTGTAGTGAAGATGGCAGCTGCGGGATCTGCTGGGGACTCTGCGGCGAGCGGAGAGACTGCACTGGGGGGGACTGTGCTGCCAAAAGTGTGGCCAGTCGACGACCATGTCGCTTTCATCGGCGACGAAACCCAGTGCTGAGAGCCTGTAATGGCTGCTTGGCAACCGATCGCTGGCTGACCAGGATCACAACGAAGCCTAAGAACCGCGAAGAAACTGAGGACGAAAAGCAAAGGAGGGCGAACGGTATGAAAATCAAGGAGGATCTGAAAAAGAAAACACCGGAAGAGAAAAAAGCCTTCTACGTCGAACAGAAGGTCAACCGGCAAGCGGAAGACCAGAAGAAGAAAAGGACGTTCTCCTCGGCGGTGGGAAGCGTCGAAGAGAGCCGAGACGTGGCCGCGACTAACTACATCCCGTTCAAGAAGTGGGCTCAGCAGGAGATGAGCTTGAAGGTTTACAACACATTGCCAGAAGCCCGTGTGGGGTGGGACAAACACGTGGCAGACCCCGCGACGGTCTCGATCGTTGAGAAAGGAGAGACCTTGGTCCTTGACTACGGCGGGGTTGAGGTGCGAGGACGCCAGGCCCACAGTCTGAAGTCGGCCCTGCGGCAGAGGATGGACATCTCCGAGCAGAAGGATTTGGATGAGACGAGAGGCGGATCTGCAGATGCAGGCAATTGCCATAGAGGAGGTCCAGAGGCAGGAAAAGGAGGAGAGAAAGCGGAAGATCGAGGCCGCCTGCCTCTGGAGAAGTTGGCCCTGCAAGCCTCCCGGAAGAAGGCGATCCAGACGATGGGAGATGTTGCCCTCAGGAACCAAGCGACAATCGCAGCGCTCTCTGCTGAGAGCCAGAAGCTTTGTGAGTTTGAGAACCAGGACCTGGAGGACGACATGAAAGAAAAGATGGGGCACGTCGACCGGGCTCTTCAGGTTCTGAGTGAGGAGATCGCCAAGTATGACTCTCAGTGGGAGAAGAAGGAAGAGGAGGGCACAACCACAGCGGATGAGATGGCCGAGCTCCGAGGGGAGATCGCTGTGGTCCTCAAGGGGTTCCACTCCAACAACGATGCAGCCAGGAACGTGAAGAACAAGATCCAAGACGTGCGAATTTGGATCGCGAAGACGAAGAAATCGATCAACAGCGAGAGAAAGCAGCGGCCAAAACAGCCGCTGGAAAGAAGATGGGCAAGCCTGCAGCAAGCATGCCCTTGGAAGCCTTGGCCGAGAAATTGGCGAAGGAGCTGAGGGGTGAAAGCTCCTTTGGCAGCGTGGACTACAGCTTGAACACCAAGCAGCGCTGGAGAAGCTGGCCCCGGTCGCCTTCGATCTTGCTCGGGGGAAGAGCCTTTGCGAGACAGTGGCCAGCCTCGATTACCGCCGACTTCGCCAGTTGTGGGTGGCGAGTGGGTCGAACTCCTGCTGCCTGGTGATATCCAAGAAAGCAGTCGCCAAAAGGCTGAAGTGAAGGACCAGCTGATCCGGCAGTACCCTGAAACTGGCGACTCCGAGGGGGATGCGATGACAGGATTCCCGGCCGAGATGCAGGACACCTTCAGTTTGCAGTTCGGCCAGCGTTTGGGGGGCACATCCTCGTTGTGGACCAGGACAGACATGAACTGCCCGATGCTCATGATTTGCCTGGAGGCAAGCTCACAGTGGGGTGCCATCGAAGCACCTGCAGGCCGCGACCTTGGCAGACGTGCCCAAGAAGCTCAAGAAGATGAATGCCAAGGATTTGGCCCATCCTGTGAAGTCCAAGGGCTGGATGGTTCAGATGCAGTCTGAAGGCAGCATCCTCATTCCGCCAGTCGCGTGCTGGTTCGAGGTTGCCTGGGGGAGACTGTGCACAGCCTCAGGATGCTGGTGGCACGAGAGTCGCTGGCTGGGCCAATGAAAGCTTTCTTGGAGAAGATGCAGTCGGAGGGCAATATCCAGGATGGCGATTCTTACTTCAAGATGCCGGCATGGCTCCGACATAGGTGGGACTCCTGCGGCGATGCTCACGATCCAGCATCGGTGCCCCAGCTGTGGCGACGGCAATGCCCCGGTGATCCAGCATCGGTGCCCCTGCTGTGCACTGTGCATTGGTGCATCCAGCATCGGTGGGACTGCTGCGGCTATGCTCTGATCGGCCAACACGGCATTTTGACAGTGAGTGCTAGGCGCTAGCTTTCCAGGGTCCAGTTGCACAGAATGTTTATCAGAGTTTTGAAGGTGGGGGTTACGAGGTGTCGAGGGGTTTTAGGGTGCAGAGTGCCGTGTTTTCCTCCAGTGTTGGCTAGAGAGAGCAAGTGGGGATGAGTTCGTAGCTCGGCTAGTCTAGTTTGTTGCGGCACGAGGGTGCAAAGATGCAAAATGTGGCTCAGAGCAACACTCCAGCGAGGTCAGGGTACCGAGGAGAGCACAACGGGGATGCACAGTAACATGCTGTGCAGCATGGCATCCGAGCAACCTTCGGAATCCCCGATCTTCCCATCGCTGATTGATGTCTCCGATGGGGAGGAAGCCCTTGGCGAGACTCGCGAGGAAGTCCTTCCGCTTGCTTCGCGAGGTGATATGCTGAAGACGAGCAAAAAGCTGCAGGCGGGAGACAAAGATCTTGAGATATATTGTCTCGAGCAAGAGCTCGAGGCTGTTAAAGAGGAGAATGTCAAGCTCAAGCTCACGACGAAAACGCAGCAGGATTCCATCAGCGTCTTGAGCCAAAAGATCCATCAACTGGAGTCGTCCAGAAGCCAGGGGGAACGGTGGTTTGGCGACAATGAACAGTTCACTTATGTAACCAAGCGAGGAATCCAAACCTTGTTTGGCAGCTCTGAGCCGTCTCAGCCGTCGCCAAAAAAGAATCGCCAGCTCTCACCCTGACAAGGTGTGGAGGGCATTGCAAACCAGAAGAGTCTGCAGTGCCAAAGTTTTGACGGGAGGCAAAGGGCAACCAGTAGGTTTGTGTGCCGTAGTCCTAGTTTAGACTCGTGAGGACAGGCGAAGGAAAAGGGGGACACCCAAAAACCCTAAACACTTAACCTCAAAACCTAAACCCTACCTTAAACCCTAAACCCCAAAACCCTCAACCCTTAAACCTTAACCCTAAAACCCCAAACCCTAAAGTAGAGGAAAGAGTCTTGTGTTTGCACCGGGTAGGGACACAGTTCTGACACGACATTTGTGTGCGAGCTGCAAAACAAACTGTTCGCGAATACTTCAAGCATTAGTTTCATGGCTTTGTGGGCAACATTACATAAAAGGTGGCTGTAAGCTGAACATACCACCGTGTCCGTTCGAATTATCGTGTAGGTGCCGCTGTTGGCACTATTTCGTACGAATATCACTATGATGTCAAGTGAAAGTGATCGCCTCCTATTGACAGGCCTGCCGCTGCTTCTGTTGATATGTAAACAAAAGCCCGGAAATAGAGAGTTTTGGAACATGTGCAATTATGAGATGAACTCATTGTGTTGTTTGTGGCCTCCAAACCCAGAACCTCGTGCCGGAAGTTGTGCTTACCCCAAATATGGCAATATGTGCCCGAACCTCATAGCTTTTTGGGGCAGGATTTGGGTAGGTGCGCCCGACCCGGGCTCCAGAGCAAACACCATATTTCAAGACGCCCCGACCGTGCAAGACAGGCGCCTGGCTCTCCTGGAGTACGCGGAGCGCGTGCCGGGGAGGCTGGTGTCCAAGATGCAGGTGTTGCTAGCGCACACGGGAGGGGCGATCAGGAACGTAGCCAAGAAGGGGGATCCAGCATCGGCCGTGGCCGTGTCCTACTTCCTCAAGGCGCTGAACAGGCGATGACCGTCCGAGTGGCGAGGGAGCTCCGGACCCTGTGCAAGATCCTCGAATAGTATTGGTGGAAGGGGAGACGAAGCAGGCGGCGGACGCAGCCACTCAGAGCATAAAGGCCCTGGACGTCTTCCTGGCGGAGGGTCAGTGGTTCAGAGCTCAGCACCTGGAGCTGATACCCCGAGAAGGGGTCCACTCTCGTCGAGAGCGAGGAGTCCCTGATGATGGCCTCTGGAGCAGAAGCTCAAGGGTGGAGGAAAGGGGTGGTATGAAAAGGTCACAAGGGCGAAGGAAAGAAAGGAAAGGGAGCGATCTGGGTTTAGGAACTCCGGGGTTCGGGGTTTAGGTGTTCAGGAGTTTAGAGCTTAAGGGTTCAGGGTTTAGGGTTTGGGTTCAGCAGCTCTGACTTTGAAGATTTCAAGTTAAGCTCTTTCTAGTCACTAGTCAAGCTATCTTCAAGAACAAACCCCACCCGCCCAGAGAATCCCCTCACATTAATATTAAAGTTCTATTTCTTTTGGCTTGAGTCATTACATAATAACTTACATACAACTCAAAGAACCATTTTGCGTTTCCGTAAACCCTAACACTAGTGACTTGTTGTGACTAACAGCTGGCAACACATTATGTAAAAGAGCTAGCAAAGCCACATTGCTAGTCTTCGACAAGCATTAAACTCTGAACAAATCAGCTGTTGTTACCGACGGATTGGTCAGAAGAGCTGTTTAAGGAAGGAACGTGCCTTACACAGCTGAGGTTCCATACTCCTAGGTCTTTGGGTGGTCTACTTCAGGGGTTTGATGAGAACGGCTATCCCTTATCCCCTAAAGGAACTGTGATTCATCCTGGTGTGGAATTAGGGCCGTTAGGGGCTGCGGGTCAGGGCTTTGCAGTTGGAAGGTGCGGGAATGCCAAGTGGTTCCTGCTGTTCGGGGGCATATGGAGTTCCGCCAGGTGGTGGAGGGTCAGGTTTAGCATCTGGGATGCCTGGGTGTGATACTGCTTCGGGTCCTATGCTATGGTTTCGGGCGCGTTAGGAGCGGATCAGAGACCTGAGGAGCCGGCTAAGTACATTAGTGCATTAGTGAGCTACCTAGGCTGTTCTGGGTTGCTGCCTGGATAGTGACAGTGGTTTGTGTGGCGAGTGCTAGCTGGTTTTGGGCTGTCGTAGGCCTCGGGTTAATGGTAGGTCTAGGGCTGTTCTGGGTTGGCTCGGTAGGGTTGCAAGTTCTGCTGCAGCGGACGTTGCGGAATGCGAGGACGGTAGTGCTTTTGCGGCCGAAGCTCAGAACGGATCCGCTGAAGGGGACGGTTTGGATAGTGATGGTCCGTCTTCGTTCGATGAAGAATCTTGGCGTGAGGCCCAAAGGAAGTTAGAGGAGACCGAACGGCGATCCGGCCTGGCTTTCGTGCAGAGGGCTCGTTTGAGGAAACAATTTGCTGCTGGTGGGGAGGTCGAGCCTCCTAGGTTTTTGCAGCGTTTCGGTTCTGTTCCGTCGTGGTTTTCAGGGATTGAGCCGGAAGAAGATCAAGCAGCGAGCTCCTCTTCTGCGCTGGGGGTTGGCGAGCAGGTAGTTCCTCCTTCTGAAGGCGTGGGTTTGTTGGTTGTTGCTGAGGGTCGATGGGAGCTACTGTATCAGTTCTTGGGTTCCGGGAGAGAAACGTGGGGTAACCTAAGAAGGGTTAATCGGAGGCTTGCGCGGAATGCGGTCCTCTCTTTGTTTGAGCAGTGGGGTGACACTGGCACCGGAGCTACTACGGCCAGTGCCTGAGTTGATGGTTCATGTTGGGTCCCAGTTTCGGTGAGGATCGGGAAAAATCAGGGGAGCCAGAGCCTTGAAGATCCCTCGGATTCTGCTGTTCAGATTGGGGGGAGCCAGAGCCTTGAAGATCCATCGGATTCAGCTGTTCAGATTGGGGGGAGCCAGAGCCTTGAAGATCCATCGGATTCTGCTGTTCAGATTGGGGGGAGCCAGAGTTGCGGGTATGCACCTGGTGTAGTCGTTGGCATTGAGGATAGGACTACCGGCACTGCAGAAGGTGGATTAGGAGCAGGTCTTTCGTTCAGTGAGGTCCACCGGGAAGAGTCAAGGCATCGAGTAGGTGTTGAGTCTAGAGTGAGGGTGCGACCAGGGGATAGCGCGAGCAGCCAGGATGTCGTAGAGGGGTTCACGGAGGAAGGGCTAGGAGGTAGCTCGTCTAGTACGTCACGGGATGCAAGCAGCCCCGTGGCCTGAGCCTACGTACGAAGACTTGACTGGAACTGATCTGGACATCGCAGTTTGGCCATACATAGGAACGTGGCTGCAAACCCATTTCGTAGTGCAGATCTTGACTAGCGTTGGCGAGCATGTTTTGTGGTATTTAGGAGCTCGATCGTCTGGAGTCTAGCTGGTTTGCATTGCGAGCGGTATCGAGCATTGTTCCTCTAAGACCAGGTTAGGCTATTTTGGGACATATATCCTATTTGGCAAAATAGTTTATTTTACCTCGAAATATACTATTTTAAATAGACTATTTCGCTCTTGTTTCATAGTCTATTTTTGCATGATTTTACCAAAATGGCGGTCCAGTTTCGGTCCGGTTTCGGTCCGGTTTCATGAAAACTGGATTCCGGTGGTCCGGTTTGAGTCCGGTTTCTATGAAACCGGACCACCGGGGTCCAGCTTCTAGGCTCTATTCAATAGTAGGATATAGGCTATTTCAGATATAACCTACAAAATAACCTATAGAATAACCTATAGAATAACCTATAGTTTATTTATATAAATAACTGTTGAACTCCCTACACTTGCAGTAGACGAGTGGGGTTGAGAATCCACTTCTTTAGTGAAAAGCGCTACCGCTACCAGCAGCCATCTGGCTGGCGGTGAGGGGCCGAGCCCCATGATTGGCATGTGCCAGGCATTAACCTAATACGTAATGCCATGATCGGCAGAAGCCAACAGGCATGTATAGTTTGAACAATGCCAACCGAGGTAAAGCACGTACAGTAACAGTCTTGAGGACGTTTTGCTTGCCGAAAAAGAAGTCAGTCGCTTTGAGCCGGGCCATGGTAAGGTTTATCCACTGCTGATTCCGTTCTGACGATGGAGAACCCCAACCTTGGTGATCTCCCTGCTCAACAGGTTATGAGTAGCCCAAGGAGTACCGCGGCGCGCTCGAGAGAGACGACGAACCCGAACCCAGTTGTAAACGGTGTTGGTCCTGTTATAGGAGGACATCTGGATATGGACGGGGAAGTTACAAGAGGAGTTGGTATTCAAGGACCTGCAGCTGAACCAGAGAGGCCCTTGGCTGGCCCAGGAGGTATGAGGCCTCTGCAACCACCAAGGACTGGCGGAGCTGATGGAAGTACCACAGAGAGAGCTGTAAGCTCGACGCCACAGCAAGCTGCGAATGAGTTCCTAGGAGGAACAGCAGGAAGCCCACCTACAGGATTGCTCCACCCTCAAGGACCGAAGTCGTCAACCTTTGGAACAGCCACAGTAGATCCTGGACAACGAGAACAGCTCCGGGGACCAACTGCTGCGGTGGAAGGATTGAGGACGGAGGGACCTTCAACTTCTAATAGCCCACCTGGGGCTGTGAGAGTTGGCGATAGTGTGGAATATGCTTCGGTGGCATCCTCTGTGGCCAGGAGAGAGCGACCACAGCAAGAACGTGATGACATTTCCCCTGGCCCAATGTTGCTGGATTCGGAAACTGTCAGGCGACTACAGCAGCTACACGCTTCTGCACCCCAACTGTACGGAGAGCCTACTGAGAACTCGGTTCCAAGGCCTCCCTCAGCTTCGTCAAGTGACATTCAGATGGAGGTGAGGAGACAGCTGGGAGAGATGAAGGCATTTCACGAAGAAAGCAGAAGGTTACGGTCTCAAGTGGAAGCTTTGGTTGCTGAGAACTACGAACTTAGGATGAATTTTCCACAAGGTGTACAAAGTGTACAGGAGAGACGGGTTAACTCACGATCGTGGTTGGTTGGTCAAGGTGGGATCCCTGGACTTGGGTGGTTAGGGCGGGGTTTAGGCTCCATCATGGGAGGACCGGCCTCAACACCGCCTCGTGCCTTGGAATTTCAGGCAATCGACCATCAAGGGCAAGCCGCTCCACAAGCACCTCAGGACCCAATGGACTTGGACTTTCAGGGTCAGGAGAGGCTAAGCGCCCATAACACCACTAGACCTATACCACCACCTCCACCACCTCCTGTACCGCAGGTGCAAATGATGCCTCGTCTGGGCTATGGAACTGGGAATGAGTCCCAGACCGCTTGGGAATCAATTCCTCCACCCCCTAAGACTTTCGGTTTAGATCCCAGGGTTGTAGAGGAATTAGGGACCAAGGAGAATGATCGGGGTTTAGGACCTTCTGTGCAGCAAGGGCAAGGGGCTCTGAGCATGTTACAAGGTGTGGATAACCCGGATGGGGAAGCAAGAACCAATACAAAGGATGGTAGCTTAGACCCCTTAAAGGTAGTCCTGACCGGTATGGCGCAGCTTCAAGGATTGGTAACGGAGCTAGCTACCACCCCAAAGGGCTCTCAGAAGCCGGAAGTAATTAAACCTGGCATAACTTCCTTACCCGATCTCCCGAACCCAGGACCAGAAGCATCATTGCACTTTGCAGATTGGTTGCACGACAGCAAGCCTGCGTTGTCGGATATTTCGGACAACTCTGAGGTCTTATGGCAAATGGTGCTAGATGAGTCGGACTCTTGGTATAAGGGTTACCTCAGGTTGGGACCTATGGATAGACTAATGTCTAAGCCAATCCCTTCGAGCGAACTGTCAGATTCCAAGTGGGGCAGAGTTAGCAGGCGTATTGAAGGTATGATCCTAGCTGCGGCCCCATCCGCTGTCCGCCAGGAAGTAAGTGCAGCCCGAATATCTGGACTCTTGAACGTAGTCTGCAGATTGTACTGTATCTACGGACCGGGCGGATTGGCAGAACGTGAACTGGGCCTCCGCAGTATCCAGGATCCACCTACTGCGTCGACCACTCAGGAGGCTATCGACCACTTGCGCCGCTGGCGCCGGCGGTGCCAGCGTATGTCAGAGCTGGGTGGGACATTGCCGGACTGTGCGTTGAGGGTTAAAGCCTTGAGTAAGATGACCAAACAGATCTTGCAAGGGCACCCGGAGATTGCCTTTAGGATAAGTTTGGTTAGGGCAGAGCTTCAAGTAGATCTAACACCTACCGACGACAAGGTGGATAAGTTGCATGCCCAACTTCTCAGTGAGTTTGAAGCAATGAATAATCGTAAGGATGCAGATAAGGATAAGCCTGGAGGTTCAACAACTTCGGCGACCGCTGGAACCGCGAAGGTGAAAGGTGTAGAAGCACCAGAGGCCCAACCAAACGCAAAGGGCCCAAAGGGAAAAGGAAACTCTCCTAAATCCCCACCGAACCCTAAGGGTCCCAGTAGCGCGTCGGAAGTGAGCCCCGCGGCAAAACCACTCTGCAGCTTTTACGCGTCGGTGAATGGATGCAAGAAGGGTCAAGAATGTGGATTTGTGCATGATTGGAACGCCATACCGGCGGCTGAGCGATCATCCAGGTGTAGGAACTGCGGTGCAAAGGGTCATAGAGCAGCGGATTGCAAGGCAGGGACAAAGGAAGGAAGTCCGAAAGGGGCAAAGGGTAAGGGCACAGGTAAGGATTCAGGAACAGCTAAGGGTCCTTCCACAGGTGTCCCAGTACCACCGCCTTCTGCTTCAACTTCCGGGGAATCCCAGAAGATAAAGGCCATGCTCGCCGATGCTGCCCTGCTACTACAGCAAGCCATGCCTGCGACAACTGTCGCGACTGCTGAAAACGTGACTCCAACCTCCCCGACAGCAGCCAATAATGCGACACAAGACTCTACAGGATCTAGCCAAGGAGTAGCTCTAGGAACCCCAGTCACTCTAGCGTCTCTTAATGCACAGTTGGAGACGTTAAGGTCGATGTCAAGGGATTTCGGAGTACGAGCGCTCCGAGTGGAAGGACCTCCTGAGGAACCACCAGTTGCCCTCTTAGACAGTGGCGCAACGCACGCCGTAATTCCTTACAGCGATGGGCTAAGAGACTTAGCTACCGTACCGGTAACCTTAGCGGGAGATTCGAAGGAGAACTGGTGGAAAACCAAGGGAGGCACGCTGGTAGTCCCACCTACGGAGAGCACAAGTAGATCTAAGGCCGAGCTTCAGACCATACTCCCATTAGGAGGTCTAGTAGAGACATTAGGCTGCCGGGTAAGCTGGAGCAAAAGGGCAGGCTTGAAGGTCTATCACCCAGAGTATGGACTACTGAGAACAGGAGTAGGAGCTAACACGTGTCCCTTTATCCACGAAGACCAGGCCCTTACATTGATATCGGACTTGGAAACCAGACGACTGGAGCAGTTCGAGGAGCAGATACAGAATTTGCAGTCACATTTAGATGAGTTGCAACGGCCATTGAACCCTACCGAGGCTTTGCGAGCCTATTAATGTGAAGTCAGGCTCCCGCCAGGATGCCTTGCGCGCCGTGATGGCGCAACCGTATCTTGCACAGGTGTGTGAGGAAGCAAAGGCATCCCTAGCAGAAGCATTACCAGGTTTGGAAGATCGGCATGGGAAGGCTATCCTTAAGACCCTGCCCCTTAATCGCCACAGCAGACGGGAACTCCTTGATTCCCACAGGTGGGTAGTGCATCTAGGGTCAGGCCCTGGACTACCCAATGATCCCTTGAAAGAGTGGTGTAGGTCAAAGGGAATGGCGGTTCTGAATATAGATGTGCGCGAGAGGGGAGGTAAGGGTTGGGATCTGACTAAGATAGGAGGCGTGTGGAGAGCACTACTATGGGGAGCAGCAACTGGCAGGATTTCCCTGATCTTCAGTTCCCCACCGAAGCCCAGAGATGAAAGAAGGGTAGTGATGAACCTTCAGCCGTTGTTTTTGTGGTCACTGGCATCTGTAGCTCGAGGAGGAGGAATCCCTTACTTGCACCAACAAGCAGTTGTCGAGGATCATATTCCAGAGGCCTTTGCTACCTGGTCGAATGGAGTCCGCGTTTGGCTTCGCAAGGATGGACCTGCAGAGCCACCTCCCGTCAGTATGAAGATAATCACAAACCTCGACCTAACGCACCTTGGTGGTTTAGGACCTGGAGCCCGGGTTGAAGGATTAACTTCGGATGGAAGGTGGTCTCCTGAGTTTCGCCACACAGTGTTGCTAGCCTTGCAAGGAAGGTCTCCGACTCCAACGGTAGAGGCTCTCGATGAGATTATCGCAAAGCATGTAGCTCAGACCCCGGGGGTTGGAAGCAACACACATGAAGATGAGGAGGAGGAGAGGTTGAACAGGATGTTTGAGCAAGAAAGTGTATTGTCGTCAGAGGATGGTGACACTCGCTTATTGGAGGTTGAGGACTCCTCGGATTCACCAGAGGTTATGGGATTAAGTGTAGACCAGCTTGATCAGTGGAGGCGCCATGTTCAGGCAGGACATCTACCGTTTCGAAGAGACTGTAGGTTTTGCGTGGAAGGGGCAGCCACAGGCCCCCAGCATAGAAGGATTGCTCATCCGCAAGCTTACACATTATCCCTTGATCTGTTTGGCCCGGTTCCCCAAACTGAGGCAGGGAGGGACGAGGCCAGTGTTTCGGGGAAGGCAAATATTAGATACGGTCTAGTAGGTGCCCTAAGAGTCCCAAGGTCCGCGATACCGAAACCCACCATCCCAGCAAGCAGCCATGGAGTGGAGGACTTGTTTAAGGAAGGAAAAGGGGAGGCTGAAGATTTAGCGGAGTATGAGCCATCCATTCCCGGAAACCAAGAGGAGGAGAGGCCTCTAGACCAAGGTACACCTATTGGAATTGTAGACCAGTTATTTGAGGATCCCTTGGAAGCGAGGGATTGGGAGGCGTATGGAGACTTGCCGAAGATATCTTCTGCTAGAGGTCTGAGCGAAGAAGTCCCTGATGAAAAGGGCCAGTAGCCAGAGTTGCCAACTGATCCGGAGGAGTTCCGAGCTCTAGTGGAGGACTTGAGAAGGCCAGTGGATTTGGTAGTGTTCAGGTATTTTATAGCCCTTAGGGGTAAATCAGGAGCCGAAGTGACAGAGGCAGTGCAGAAACTGGTTTTGACGATAAATAGAAGCTACCCCGTAAGGATAATACGCAGTGACCCAGGCACAGAGTTCGGGACATATGCGTTATCCAAGTGGGCAGCGCAGCAAGGGATAACTATCCAGCATTCCCTACCCACAGATAAGCGTGGAAATGGCCTAGCCGAGCGTACCGTCGGTTGGGTTAAGACTCGCATTAGGACGTTGCTGCGTGCAGCTGACCTGCCGGTGAAGTGGTGGCCTATAGCTGCAAGATGGGCTACCGCTGCCCATAATCGTTCCATCGTGGGAGCGAGCTCGTTACCGGCCTTCGGGCAACCTGTGCTTCACAAGGTGAAACAACCAGCTGACGGAGTACGGCAGTTAATGGATAGGTGGGTTCAACATCAATACGGGGCACCACACCTCACGGTTCCGGAGGGACATACGTTGATTACGGGTCTAGGAACTTTGGTGGCAACAAAGGGATTTAGAGCCAATACTATAGACCCAGCTGCTGAGGGCGTGGAGTTGCCAGTTTTGCAATCTGAAATTGTTGACGACGACCCTGCAGACCTCGAGCCCCGAGCCAATCCGCCCGAAAAACGGATAAGGGGTAAGATGAGCGTTAGGTTTCTTGAACTAGATGAGTTACCTGAGGTTGAGAAAAGGGCGCGGAATGCACTCCTCGACGATACAATCACGAATGAGTCAATGTTGTCTATCTTGGAAGCCTGGCACTCTCAGGAGGAGGGAACTAAGGATAGACGAGGTGACTTCGAAGGTAAGGCGGTGTTCGGAACGTACTGTCATGGAGGCAATCGTGGAATTACGACGAGAACCACCAGGTTTGAGAACACCACAAAGTTCTTGAACAAGTTCCTTTGGAAGTCCTTGAGCAAAGAGCAAAGGGCACATAGTCCTCGATGGAACTCAGTAATGTTTCTCCAGGCGAGTGAGGTCCCAGTTCACCGGGACTATAGGAATGAGTGGAACTCCTTCAACTACCTGGCGTTGATACCGGGTGGTGTTCAGTTATGGGTAGATGAAGACTTCGTGCCAGGAAGGAGTTCCCATCATTGCAAGGAGCCTGATTGGAACAGCAATGTTCAGGGTTCAATAGGAGAGGAGGTGTTGAAGTTCGATCCGCGCAAGCCGCATGCTCTCCGGTGCCGACATGATTGGGTTTTGGTCGGATATTGTCCGTTGGGTGCAACCAAGATTTCACCCGAGGCTCACCAAGAACTGAGTAGACTAGGGTTTAGACCCCTGGACCTAGGACCCGAGGATAATAGGGTGAAAGTAGTAAGGGCAGGTAGCTCGCAGGATGAACCGGCAGGTGACGGAAGCCCGTCTGGAGATTGTCGAATCCTAGGAGGAGACGTGCAAGGTGATTCCAATACACCAATAGTTGGTTGGGATTACACTCGGGGTTATCCAGCCCATCACACCAACTCTGCCTTATATGACTTAGACCTAAGGGATTTCCTTAAAGAAAGGGGGGTCCTCACAAGGTATGATCATCTGGTAAGACTTGGAGTTACAGAGGTCGAGGACCTATCCTTCTTATACCAAGAGGATCTGGTTGAAATGGGCTTTTCATTTGAAGATGCGAAGAGGATTATGTTTGGAATTCATCCAGAAGGAGTTCTAAGACCTGATAACCCTGATAACAGTGCCCTGAGGACTGGAGAGGTGTGTGTCTTCGACAGACAGCAGCGCCAAATTCCCAGGTTTGTTCAGAATAGGACTCTAGATGTGCGCAATCCAGGTCCCCCTATGGCGGGTCTAGGCATAGTAATACCCAAAGGAACTCCGAAACCAAGAAGTGTGCATGATCGGAGTGCGAGTCCACCTCCTCTGGTCGATAGGAGGGTACTGGATAGGCCCGGGAGTAGTGGAGATATGGTTGGCCCACGTTCCGAGCAACCGAGTAGTTCACAAGCTGGTCAGGTGGATTGGGAACAGACCTTTACCACTATGCAGCCGTCCCTTTGGGAAGATGAGTGGGAACCAGGAGTCGCGTTTGAGGATCAAGGCATCTTTCCTTCGGATTCACCAGATTCACAGGCCTATGCACCGGATGTCCCGATAGACATTCAGCGATCGCTGTATGAGAGTTATCAAGAAGGAAGCTATGTCGGTTCAGATGGAAGATATCGTGACCCGCTTGAGGATCAAGGCATCTTTCCGTCGGATTCACCATCACAGGCCTTTCAACCCTTCGGGGTTAGTGCAAGTGTGCCACCAGTGAGGTCAGGTCCATGTTTAGCATGCAGTGTGCCACCAGTGAGGTCAGGTCCGTTGAAGATAGGTAATGCAGAATCAGGTCAGTGCGTGTCCAACAGGTCTAACAGCTTTCCAAGGCATAGGTCACAAGGACAACTCCCGAACAGAGTAGTGACCAGAGCACTTCTCTTAAGCAGAATGCAGCGAGTCATAGCGCCCGAAGAGTAGATGAGGACTTCTTTACACCCAACATAGAAGGACTCTTGGGGAACCTTAAGACCCCTCTTAAGGTTGTGCATAACGTATCTCCTTCGGACGTCAAGGGGAATATCCAAGAGTGGAAGAGTGCTGTTATGGATGAAGTACGAGCTCTAGAAGAAATGAAGGCCATTCGTAGAGTAAAGGGAAAGGAAGCTGTAGAGTTGGCTGCCAGAGGTGACGTGCAGGTACTCCCAGCCAAGGGAGTGTACACTGTGAAACCAGGCCGAGGAAGCCAACTATATCGACGCAAGTGTCGAATTGTAGGTTGCGGCAACTATGAAAGGAGGTCACCAGAACAGGAGTTATTTGCAGGAGGCATCCCAGCAGACGTGTTGAGAGCATGTCTTATCAATGCGTCAGACAAGGACCTGCAAGCCTGGATTACGGATGTGAAAAATGCATTTCTGTTGGCCCTTATCCCACCGGAAGAAGGGGCACACATATTGCTTCGTCCGCCAAAGGTACTTGAAGAGATGGGAATAACGTCTCCGGATGAGCTGTGGGAGGTGACCAGGGCCATCTACGGCTTACGACAGTCCCCGAGGTGGTGGAGTATGCATAGAGACAAGGTTCTGTCACAGGCGGTATGGAATGGCCCACACGGTACAACCCGCTTGCGTCAGAGTACGGTGGAATCTAACCTCTGGTCTATGGTAACAGATGATGGAGTTACCGTGGGCTACATGATTATCTACGTTGATGACCTCATGTTGCTAGCAAAGCCTGAAGATGCAAGTGGTTTATTTGATTGGATTAAGGGACGGTGGGAGTGTACCCCACTACAGAAGGCTACAACGGAAGAACCGATCACGTTTTTGGGCGTAGAAATCCAGGAGGAGACGACTGCTGAAGGCAGAACGGGATTTTGCTTGCGACAGAGTGGCTACATCGACGAACTTACAAGGATCTATGGAACGCCATCGGTGACGAGGTCAGCGCCACTTCCGAAGGACTGGGTCAAGGAGTTGCCAGAACCAGACACCCCACTATGCCCTCATGTTCTAAGGAAGGCGCAGAAGATTACTGGCGAACTTCTATGGATAGCACAGCGTTCCCGACCGGATATAGCCCACGAAGTCGGTCTTATGAGTTCCTGGGTCAGTCGTGCCCCAACACTGGTGCACAAATTTGGCTTGAGGATCCTGGAATTCCTGAAGGCGACAAGGGAAGTGTCGTTGTCAATGACACCTATTTCGGGCTCGTCAGCTGGAATAGTGGTGTATATGGACGCTTCCTTCGCGCCGTTCGGAGGACACTCCATTTCAGGAATACTGGTACAGTATCGAGGACGTAACATTCTGTGGAAGGCGAAGAGGCAGAGTATTGTCTGTTTGTCAACTGCAGAAGCTGAGTTAGTCTCAGCGTGCGAGGGCGTAGTTTTGGGATCAAGTACGGAAGCTTTGATGAAGGAGCTGGTCAGAGATCTCGATAAGATGCAGTTGTTGGTTGATAACATAGCCGCGATAGTTATATCTGAAGGAGGGGGATCAGGCCGTACGAGGCACTTGAGAGTGCGATCCTGCTTTATTAAGGACCTGATAGATAAGGGTGAATTAGCCGTAACCCACTGCCCAGGGGATGTGCAACTGGCAGATATCTTGACTAAGGTTTTAGCAGGACCCCGGCATCAATTCCTTAGGGACCTCTTGGGTTTAGGCCCCAATAACCCAGATGTGACGATCGCAGCGGTGCAACGCAGAGAGGTCAATCCAGTCAGAGCAAGCCCCGAGAGGACTAAGCTTTGGATTTGGATTTTGGTAGCCTGGTTACAGGTGATGGTTAGTGTGGGTGCCGACGCTGATGACTCTGATGGCCAAGCACCACTGGGCCCGGAGTTATCTATGATGGTGTTGTTGTTGACATTTTCTATTTTGTTTGTTTGGGAGTCAGGTAAGGCGTGCCTGAACGCATGCTGTTCAAGACGTGAGCAAGCAAGGGTTGCAGTTCTGCGAGCTGAGGCGGATGAGCAACAAGAACGACGGCAACGGCGTCAAGAAGCAGTTAGGAGGGCTATAGCTTCGGAGACAGAAGGCTTAAGGTTGAGAAGGGACGAGGGTTCTGATATACCAAGTCCACCTGAGAGGCCCTATGTGCACATTCAGGTTGAGGCTCCAAGGCCACCTCCTCCACCCGTCGTAAGACAGCCTGATCGCCTGGACTTGGCATCCCAATCCACCGTGGATTTACAGGGAGAATCTCAGAGCTCCCACACCACCGGAATTCCTCACACTACTGTTGAGCCGCCTCCACCTGTCCCGGTTAGGGGTTTGGTAGAGGACCAACCAGCTAGACGAGAGGTAGCCGTGCAGACAGTAGAAAGTAGGGGTTTGACCTTCGGAGAGCTACAGGAGCTTGAAGTCTTGACATCTACGTCTAGGACCCCTGGTGTGGTTCACTTGTTTCCCGGATGTCATGCTCTTCGAGGGGTCAATACCAATCGGAGGCAGTTCTGCCGATACTGTCTTCAGTCTGCAAGATCCGGGATTTAAGATTTGACAACCGAGATCTCTAAGAGATCATCAGTTGAGGAGGAGTGTTGAACTCCCTACACTTGCAGTAGACGAGTGGGGTTGAGAATCCACTTCTTTAGTGAAAAGCGCTACCGCTACCAGCAGCCATCTGGCTGGCGGTGAGGGGCCGAGCCCCATGATTGGCATGTGCCAGGCATTAACCTAATACGTAATGCCATGATCGGCAGAAGCCAACAGGCATGTATAGTTTGAACAATGCCAACCGAGGTAAAGCACGTACGGTAACAGTCTTGAGGACGTTTTGCTTGCCGAAAAAGAAGTCAGTCGCTTTGAGCCGGGCCATGGTAAGGTTTATCCACTGCTGATTCCGTTCTGACGATGGAGAACCCCAACCTTGGTGATCTCCCTGCTCAACAATAACCTATATAGGTTATTTTTGCCAAATAGGATATATGTCCCAAAATACCCTAACCTGGTCTTAGAGGTTCGGTATGCCATGGCTGGAGCGATTGTGGATCGGCTTCGAAGGGGACCTCATGTTCTGCGTTTTGCGGGTCTTCAGTGGTTTGATATGGTAGAGATTTTTGTGCTGCAAGGTTACCCTCCCGAACCTGAAGATCGACCTAACCTTGAAGAGGGTGTCGTACCGGTGTTTCCTTTAGTGTTGTGGGCTCCTGGGTTGTATGTACATTACTTTTCTGTAGCCGGTTTCGAACTCTTCGCTGTGCAGCACAAGGGTTCATGACTCATTCGGTATATGCCATGATACTGTGGCTCAGAGCCACGAGTGTCACTAGGGTTACAGATGGAGCGCAGGCCTTTCAGGCTGCCGAGGCTTACCTGCAGAGTGGGGAGCGTGTTCATCCCTTTTATGATCGCGATGATGTTGAGGATGATGATACTCTAGATGAGTTCCGGTATCAAGCCGCGGCTCCTGTGCTTCAAGTTCAGGTTGCGCCATATGCCCTAGCCTTCGAAGAGTTACTTGACGGATCTGAGGCCTCATCTGAAGGGTCTGGGGACCGAACAACCGTTGAGCCTTCGGTAGTCTCTGTAGATTCTAAAGATTTGAACGAGGCAGCAGATCCGGAACTTGGGGAACTTTTCCCCCTGGCGGTCCTGAAGCGAGAACGCTTCCGGGTTCACTCACTATTTACGAAGCTAGACCCGGAGTGTTAGCAAGCGGTGGTTCTGGTTCGGTTTTGGGCTTGAGAAGGGTTCTTTGGATGCTGTTGATCTGGTGGGTTCTTATTCAGAGTGCCGGAGCGTCTTCGGTAGGCCAGGAAATTGTGCTTCAGGAGGAGTCGAAGGTGGTTCAGGTTTGGTCTTCAGAGGCTACGGTGTGTTCTGCTGGAAAAGGCGCGGCAACCTCTGAAGAGTGTGTTTGTGACGGATCTACTTTAAGGGCATGCGTTCAAGTTATCATTGGGGGCTGGGAAGTGCTCAGGGTAGCAAGACGCTGGTGGAGCAGGAACATTCCTCACCACATTGAACAGGGTAGCCAGACTGACGGTTTGTATGTACCTCTACCTTTAGATGTAGGGGTTCCTCATAAGGATAGGGTCTTGTTTTGTTTGTATCGGGCGGGATACCCTGTCGATGTGACAACATATGACGATGAGACTCAATCAGGCTTTGATTGGCTACTTGGGGATCATTTGATGCGTCTCGAGCGGGCCAGTGAGTCTTCGTCATCGGATTGAGCCTTCTCGAAGTAGGTTCCTGCTGCAGCAGGGCTTTTAAAAGAAGGAATTGTTGCGGGGGCAATGTGTCTTGTGGAAAGGAAACAAGCCTTGGAGACTGAAGTAGCAGAAGAAGAGAAAGAGAGGAAAGAAGCGCAAGCAAAAGAGGAAGAGAAGAAGAAAGGAAAAAGGCCAAAGCAGGTAGAGACAGAAGACCAAGAAGAGAAGCCGTCAAGCAACCAAGGAGACGAAGCTACCGTCGACCCGAACGACATAGCCGAGTTCACGCAGCTTGGCTACGTGTGGGAGTTCAACAAGAAGACGCAAGAGTACCGCGCGAAGTGCGAGGACAAGAAAGGAAGCACGAGAATCAAGAACGCTCCGGTGAAAGGCCGCCTCCTTTGGAACAAGGTGACGGAGTGCTACAGAAAACACAACATTTGGTTTACAGACGGAAAATTGGATAAATTCCTCGAGACCAAGGAGAACGAGAAGATCGAGGAAGAGGTGCAGCGACGCATCGGCATGAAGGGCAAGAGCGACAACACAGGAAGCAAGGGAAAAGGCCCTTCCTGGGACGACGGACAGAACGACGGTTGGTGGTACAACGACCAGTGGAACAACGAGAACTGGAACACCAACGACGACGGCAGCAACTGGTACGAGCACGCGAACCCGAACAACAAAGGCTACTGGCAAGCGCCAGAAGAATGGGCGCAGCAGAACCAGTGGGACCAGTGGACACCCAAAGGAAAGGGTAAAGGCAAGAAGTCCAAGAACTGGGTGCAGACCCAGTGAAAGAATCCCGAGAAGGGATGATCGAGCAGGTCAAGCAGTGAACACTTGTACATATGTACATAGCTAAGCAACGTAAGACTTGATGTATACTAGCACAAGAATTCATGTACAAAGTGTGAGCAAATGTATAGACGTAGCAAACTGGGGCAGTAAGCCTAGGTAAGCTACAACCTTCCAAAGTCTCACAAGAAGTTTCACAAAAGGCAGGCTAGGAAGGTACAAGGGCCAGAAGAGGCAAGAAGCCGGAGAAGCCAAGAACAAAGAGAAGAAGCCCGAAAGAAAAGCCCGTAGGCTACGTAAGGGCAGAAGGAAACCGGGGTACGGGCCTCCCCGCAAAGAGTCCATAGGCTGGACCTAACTAGAACGTAGCTGTATATACAGAGTAGGTTTTTCAAGAAGGCCAATGTACAGACATAGAAGGCCTAAGTAGCAACAGGGCAGGAGTGCAGCTAGGTAAAAGACCAAGAACAACGGAGACGAAAGTCCCTAGCAAAAGCACTGTACAGAAAGCCCTAGCAGTTTCCAAGAACACCCTAGGAACCCGCAAGAACTTTCTGAGGCGGGGTGTCCGTTTGTAACCTAGTGCACGTAGTCCCAAGTAGAGTGTGTAGAGTAATCACAGGAACACATGAAACATGTGTGTGAACCGCGACACGAAGGCTTAAGCAAGTCAGCCCGCGAAGTGCGATCAAAGTGCACCGCTAGGCGTTTCTGAAGGAGCGAGGCGTATGTCTTATACATTGTATTGGAGAGAGACATGGGTCGATAGTTAGAAAGGAGCTTAGTATCTTTCTGGTAGTTTTTGACCAGCATGACAACCTCGGAATGGAGCCAGGAGGCCGGGGCCTCCCCTGTCATGAAACAATGATTGTACTGGTCTGATACATAAAGACGAAAAATATAGGGGGCATTTTGAAGAAGTTCGGCTGGAACGCCGTCGGGGCCTGGAGCCTTGCGCTTACCTAGAGCGCAGAGGACAATATCAAGTTCCTCCATATTGAATGGGCGGGACGCTTCTGGGATTATCGGGAAAAGAGGGAGTTTCTGGAAAGGCTTCAGGGGAGGGAGCCTTCCAAACTTGGTTGGCCAATAAATCCGGGAATGATTCTGCCCGGCGCGATTTGGAGACCAATTTACCTTGAGCGTTAACTAGATTAGTGGAGTTGACATAGTTTCCCGATCTTCTATATCGGTGTTTCAGGTAAAAGCGGATCCATACTTAAGGTCCCTAAAAAACTCCTCGGCCCCGGTAGTGTTGAAAGAGGTATGCTGATGTCTCGCGATGAACTCCTTCTAAGAAGGACTGCTGGCAATGGGCCGCAGAATCGGAATCGAGATGCTATAGAGTCAGCTTTTGTCCCGCCAGCTGCGAACAATCGTGCGATACAGACGGACTTGGCCGATAGCATAATTATCAAAGGTGAATGTTTTCCTGAAGGCTTATCCTGTTTCGCCTCACCTTGTAGGTGTGGCGAGGGGGAGTGCGTGCGGTCAAGTCCCAGGCACAGCATGCAACGGTGATTCGCGGAGGCTGTTTTGTTTCTCGAGACAAGGTGTGCCCGTTGAGCGATTTCGTCTTGATCTTGTTATAACATTCATCTTATCTTCACGTACTGGGGCCCTAAACCCTAGGCCGCTGAACACCGGGGCCCTAAACCCCAGGCCGCTAAACACTGGGGCCCTAAACCCGGGACTGCTAAACACTGGGGTTCTACACCCTGAGACGCTAAACACTGGGCCTAAACCCGAGGCCGCTAAACACTGGGGCCCTAAACCCTAGGCCGCTAAACACTGGGATTTTGATCAATAGCCACGAGTATCGATCAAGAGCCACGAGTTTTGATCAAGAGCCACGAGTTTTTGATCAAGAGCCACGAGTTTTGATCAAGAGCCACGAGTTTTGATCAAGACGCCACGAGTTTTGATCAAGAGCCACGAGTTTTGATCAAGACGCCACGAGTTTTGATCAAGAGCCACGAGTTTTGATCAAGAGCAACGAGTTTTGATCAAGAGCCACGAGTTTTGATCAAAAGCCACGAGTTTTTATCAAAAGCCACGAAGCCATTAGGGTTTAAATTACTATAGGTAGAGAGGTTCAGGGTTTAAGCTTGAAGGTTTACAAACCGCGCTTTTAAATTAATAGATTGTTGAAATGGTTGAAAACGGTAGAAATTTCAACTGGTTGAACAATCAGTTGTCCTTTTGTTTTCCTTTTGAACCAGATTCTCAACCGGTTGAAATTTCAACCGGTTGAAAAATCTATTGTATATTAAAAACTATAAGCTATGTAAAAATATAAATCAAACTGAAACTCGGGGCCAGAGCCTCCAAGTAAACATACAATATATTAATTTCGCTGGTGTGGCTACGGTCTGAATTGCTTGAGGACAATCTTCCAGGATCTATATGTTCGGGGGTCCAGGTGGTGAGAGGTGTGGGCTATTCCCGTTTGAGTCTAGATGTTCAGGATCCAGGGGTTTGGGTTTCAGGGTTCGCCCATCATGTTCCGAACGGTTGTGGCCCTTGCAGGTTTTGGGT